GAAAAAAGTTGATTTATGTGGTTTCAAAGACTAAACAGCACTAGCCGATTGTTTTTGTAACGGAAACAGGTAGTTTTCTCCTCGGTAGGAATTAAATGTGCAGATAAACATTTTGATAGATCTGAAACTGGTTTTTGCACAAGTGTTTGGTGCTTATCCAAAGTATGCACTTAAAAATCTGTAAAATGAGATAAGTATGCTTTTTTTGCAAATACAGCAACAGCCAGATAGCGACTAACGTTAGGGTTCGCGTATGTAATGCCGGACTGCTGGTTAGAAGTCAGTTCGCATTCGGAAGGTCCTGCGATCGGCCAACTCGATCAAAGTTTCCCGTGGTTTTCCTCGATCCTAGAGCAAATGCTATGAATGTATGAATGAATGTATAAGGGGTGGGCCTTCTCGGCCCTTGCACCGCGACCTACAGTGATTTATTGTGCTTCCCCTTCTGATTATCCCCTCAACAATCCTTCGCTTCGAATGATGCGCAGGATTTTGTACATGGGGACGTCGAAATAGTTACTTGGTTCCATAAAGTATTGATCCAAGTGACATAATCTTAGATAAGCTAAGGCCTCACATTCGCACAGGATATGTGTGGTTGTTTCATTTTCTTCTTGACACCTCTCACAAGTGGGACTATCACTCAGTCCCAGTTTGAACAGGTGTCCTTTGAGGTGACAGTGTCCTGTAAGTAGTCCCACCATCCGAGAGCAAATGCTAAGTTGGTGCCAAAATTCCACGTTGCACTGCTTGCTTCACGTGCAGCCGTCCCACTGGTAACATCAAAATTTCGCCCTAGTGAAGCCCTCCCAATATTAAAAAGAAATTTCTCTATAATGCGGTCCTTCCAGCGTCATGTGTATTTTTTTAATCATACGCATTAGCTCTGCCAGAAGGACGAGCGGGCACTGCCTGGGCACCTTCTTGCCCCCCCCCCAAATGCAGTCTCTCTCTCTCTCTCTCTCTCTCTAAAATTAGTTTCAAGTCGCTATTTCTAACCCTCTGACGCCTTCACTTTCATACTACTTTTATCAGAAGGGCGAACGGGCTAAGCCTGGGTACCTGCTGACAAAACGATACCATTTTCATTCCCTTCCTCAAATAAACTATCTCTAAACGAGTACCAGTCGGTATAGCGACTAGCTACGGGCTGGTCGGAGTTCGAGTACCGGTAGGGTCAAAAATTTTCTCTTCTCTACGTCGTCCAGACCGGCTTTGGGGTCCACCCAACCTACTTCCCCGGGGATAAAGCGACCTGGACGTGAAGCTGACCACTCATCTCCAGTTAGTGCCGAGGTCAAGAAAATGTGGATCTATACATCCCCTCCCTCACACGCCTTCGTGGCGTAGTGTTTAATTAGTTAAGCACATGGACAGCTTTACTATTTACTTTTACGTAACGAGTACATTCCGAAGTAAACAGCGTCACGATTACGCTAACCCGTTTGCTATAAGCGGGCGCCGTACGTAAATAAGATGTCATCCGATATATCGTGCGCTTCTAGACTAACTTTGAAAGTAATAGACGAAATGTGTTGTGGTCACGTAAGTAGGTCTTGATGCCCTGTAAACCAGTATACTGCGTGCCCGCCATAATCTTAAGATCTCTCGTCCTGGCTGTAGCCGACCTCTGGCGGAAGAATACAGCGCCGTTGTACAACTTCATTTCAACTTCAAAGGTAAAGCGCGTATTTACACGCTCGCAGCGGTCAGAGCACTTAGCGGCATAATCAGAAAGCTTTGTAACGGGCCAGATAAACACGTGACTGTCAGCAGATACTGTTGTGTCATCGCTGAGGGATCATGTAATCGCGGCTGGACTATAGTCACCGTTTGTTGAATAAATATTGCAAGTGGCAATTCAAGGAATTCTCAGTGTAATGAGTTAATGGGAATTAAATTGTATGATCTACGCAGGTCTAGCCAGAGTTTAGTTATATAAACGGCGTGAGACACTGCATATATATGAAATCATTTTTATTATTTGCTTTTCTATTTTAACCTTTGCTTTTCTACTTTAACCTCTCTCAGTACCAGGAAGGGTAATACCAAGAAAGAGATGTATATTTACAAATGTATTTAATTATCATATTCTATAACCTCACATCAAAGGAAAACATTCAGCTGTTAAGTAGGAAACCTAAATCTGTTCTGCGAAATGTACTGTAGCGTGTACAACCGTTGCTATGCAACAACTGCGAGATAAGAGGAATAAATAGCGAATGTTTCTAGGCAACGGCTCGGGAAACACGTTCCCTTGACAACGAGTAGGCACGCAACAATAAAAAAATGTATTTTCAATGTGTCCGTGCGAGGAAGTTATAACCATTACAGTTAGAGCAATGAGTTCACACCCGTGTGGAGGCAGGGTCGAATACCTCCACCGTGACCCTGAGAGCCGTATGAGGCGACGGAAGGGGAAGTCTCAAATCCGAGACAGCAAAATATGGTTGCGAGTCCCAAGGGAATCGGACCTCAGAAAGACTGCGCTGAGGGCCAGCAGCATGTACAAAAGACAGACCCGTCCTCTCGTCAGAGAGGGCGCCCCACAGAAACAAGATCGTAGCTGTCAAACAGTAATAAATATCTGGTTATGAGCCCCACATAGGGCTCGACACCAAGACCTACTGACTGACTGACTGACCGTCAGGAGCACTTTGACTTTGTACAATGAGTTGAGTTGAGAGGTAGTTCCGTACGGGAGGCTGTGAAGTTAGAACCTGAGCGCATGAAGCTGAAGAATCTCCACTGACAGAAGCCGTTGCCAGGGAACGGCTGGTGAAGGCACAGTAGGCTGGAAAGGACTTAACGAGTGCTGTGGTGATTTGTGTATTGTGTACATGAACGGTGACGCTGTAGCTGCTTGTAGTTCCAAGTCGTATACCTAAGTTGTCAATAAGTTCATTCACCAATCACCGATTGCCCTAATGTACGTAGCATGCCCCGGGTGATTATGATGATGGAAAATTTGGTGGTGGAATGAAGATTGGCAGGAGAAACCGAAATACTCGGAGAAAACCCGATCCAGCGCCACTTTGTCCACAACAAATCCCACTTGACCAGACCCGGGATCGAACCCGGGCCGCCGCGGTGGGAAGCCAGTCGGTCTTCGTTCCTTGTTGTATAACCTCGGGTCGGATCCAACAGAAAATACCGTTTCCACCGGTATAGCCCAATAATACTTAGATCGTTACTTACGTATTCGTTGCTGCGGGAACCCGTTTACCAAGTCGTTGCCTAGCATTGAACGTCTACTCTGGCTCCGCTATTCTGGATTTCAGGCGTCATGTCAAAATATTAAGATTACTGTTTTCTGTGATGTGACGCCGAGTAACATGGTAGAAAGGTATTAACGTTTCGGAGGAACTTTTAGCCTCCATCTTCAGAGGGAATAGTACAACTCTTATACTCTGAAGGTGGAACGTTAGTACATTTCAACGGAGCACATGTCTTGACATGTCTTCATGCAGATTTCTGCAAGTTTTTTTTAAACTTGCCTGCAAACGAAACTTGAGACGCCCACGGACAAAGTGTAAGGATCCGTTTTAGCCTTGAAAAGGGGCATAATTGCCCAAACCTTGTTGGAGAGATAATCGCACTCCAGCAAGGCTAACACATGGCATCGATCTGAGTTGACCCATTAGCTTCTCAAGGACACTGCTCCATGGAGTTTAGTTTACGTGTAGTTAAGTCTTCGCTACATGGAACAAAATAAGAATTGTAAGTATGACGTCACATTTTAGTAAGGTACGATAAGGTAAAGCTATCCAACAGGCCACGGAGACCCATACGATTGTGAGACGTCGAGGCTCCCCCACTACTGGGGGTAATGCTATTCCTGTAACAGGCCGTGAAGGCCCATAGTGTTGTGAGTGAATATGCTACGACTGCTTCCTCACAAATCCTTTCCAAGTCGTTATACAGCAATCATCCTACCATTCGATGATATGTAGTCGTTGGCTTCCCACCTCGGCGGCCCGGGTTCGACACCGGGTCTGGTCAAGTGGGATTTGTGGTGGACAAAGTGGCGCTGGGGCAGGTTTTCTCCGAGTACTTCGGTTTCCCCTGCCAATCTTCATTCCACCAATAGCTCCACAATCACCCTCACCTATCATCTGGGGCTGGTACAATAGGCCAGAAGTGGCCGCGGTACAAGGGACTTAGCCCCACCCCACTAGCAATAAAAAAAATTATAATCTCCGTGGCTTGAGTCCGCAAGCGAACTATACTGCTATACAGACCGAGCGACCGCCGCTTGTCGGCGAAGTTAGTGCGGATAGAGGGTGTGGTGTGGTCAGCGCAACGAATCCCCACGGCCGTTAATTTCGGTTTTATAGACAGGAGCCGCTGTTTCCTTGAAATTGCCCCACAGTTATCCTCCCGAGGCTGAGTGGACCCCGCTCCAGACCCACTACTTCTCAGAAAATCTTGTACCGCCAGGAATCGTACCCGGTTCCTCAGGATATGTAGCCAGGAACTCTGACCACTACACCACAAGGGCGGCCTCGAACCTCAGATGTCATATTTAATTTTATTGATTTATGATTTATTTAATGATGCTTCCAATAACTTAGATTTCTAATACAAGATGAAGTAGTTACACGATGTCTTATCTCTGTGATCTGTAACAAATTTTTTCCGTCGTTTGTACAACAAAAACAGTTGGTATTTTGCACTAACAAGCGCTGCCTACGCCCTGTTGTTAATTGCACGACTTGGGCGCATCTCTGCCCACATAGTCTACAAGAGAGAGGAATGCCGTAGGGTCGACGAACACGAAGTAACATATAAGGCAATGCAGAAGCTGAGTTCTTATGATATCGATATCTCGAATCGAAGTCAAGCGAATTATACTGGAAGCAACCGGATCAACACTTTGATTGATATGCGTGATGTACCCATTTCGAAACTAGGCCTTGAGACTTATTCTGAGTGAAGTTTGACGTGATTTTCCTCATCCGCTCTAGAAAAGTAGCTGATGGTATGGATTGGATTGGTCTGGCTCAGGATAGGGAGCATTGGAGGGCTCTCGTGAACACGGTAATGAACGTACGGGTTCCATAAAATGCTGGGAAATCCTTGAGTAACTGCAGAATGGGCCGCTCCTCAAGAAGGCCTCAGCTTCATGAGTGAGTGAACGTGAGAATGATGAGTGTAGACTTTCAGTGATCTGCATGTAAGCGGTGATTGAACCGTTCTCCTGATGTGCTGCAGAACACGTTTAGGTTAAGTGATTTGTGTTACATAACTACATTTGGCTGTGTAACTTTTCCCTTAACGAGTTAGCCCGGTTCGTGATGTGTTCCACTGTCATACAAGAACCAGACAACTAACCAAACTTCTTGCAGCCGGGAGGCGCGCCTGGAAGAACTAGTTCCACACTTTCAGGTTCTTGTACATGGATGTGTAATAGTTGCAATTTGTTTCAGTCTTATTTCGTATTACGCCCTGGGGTCTGTTTCCCATCAGAATTATTCTGGAGCTATGGATCTTATAGGCAGTCGGCAGGACTCCTTGGACGGGGTATCAACCCTGTCGCAAGGCCGCTACCTACACAGAACCACACAAACAAAAGAAACGCGATCAGACATTCGTACCAACTATCCCATTTGCTTTGAGCGGGTGAAGACATTGCGTGCCTTAGACCGCACAATCACTGTGATGGGCTGTTTCAGATTTAAAAATTCGATTATTGGGGGGTGGAGTCCAACTGGGTCCACTCGGCACGACGGCCACTGATTGACCTATTGTAGCCTGCCCCGGGTGATTATGATGATGGAGAATTTGGTGGAATGAAAATTGGCAGGGTAAACCGAAGTACGCGGAGAAAATCCGCCTCAGCGCCACTTTGTCCACCACAAATCTCACTTGACCAGATCCGGGATCGTACCCGGGCCACTGCGGTGGGAAGCCAGCGACTAACCGCTTGAGCTATGGCGCTACCCTACAGAACACAGTTAATGTAAGCATATGGGAAATTTAGAGGTACCTAAATTGTTCGCAGTAATGGCAAACACAGTTTTCTGCACAATAGGGACATCCAAATGTTGTCCTTCAAGTTATGTATCCCGACATATGTTTATTATTGGATTATTTGACGATTGATTGTGATTAATAAATTAGAGTTGATGTGGAACAGAAGCGGTAGAGGCATATTTAAAATACTATCCCATCCGTTACCTCACTTGACTAAGGAATGCGATGAAAGCTCTTGGGAATTTTTGTCAGTAGTTCAGCCGCGTTTTGAAAATATTATATTCTGAATGCAATTTTAAAATGTTACCGCTACACGAAATTGCTATGTGCACATTAAGGAAGTACATTTACCGGTATAGTAATTACTCGAACTATTGAGAATAAGTAGTTTAAGACTGTGAACAAAGCCGTATTCTGCGATGTGGCGCCGTATAGATATTGTATTAACTGACTTTTCGGAGTAACGGATTTTTTTTCTTTTTACTTCTGCCCTGAATATGGAGGCGAGATGCTCCTCTGAAACGTCGGTTAATACAATATCTACACGACGCCACATCCCAGAAGACGGCTTTCTTCATAGTCACCGCCGTGAAAACCTCAAATCTTAACATAGTTTAAGACTGTTTATTCGGAATTCGTTGATAGTCATAGTTATTTGTATGAAAACCAAATTTGAAAAAAAAAAATTAATTTCCTTCCGTAGCTGGAGACATCCGAAAAATTCCTACTCTCTTAGTCTGCTCGGTATGAAAGTGGCTCTTCTCAAGGACTCAGTATTATAAGAATTTTCAGAGTCTTCTCGTCCTGATGGAAGGAATATGACTCATTTTCGAAACGTTACTGTTTCCATATAGATAAGTAGGGTGATGCACAAATTCTTGAAGTAAGTAGCTCCAAGAAGTAGAGTCCTTGTTGAGAAGACTACAAATGTACAGCCACTGAATAAATTCCCATCATCCTATGGAACCAGAAAGACTACTGAAGACAGAATAATTAGCGTGTCCTGGTGAATTCTGAAGTGGGTAGATTAGTGACTGATTGTGATTAAGAGAGATTTTAAAAGAAGATGTCAATAAATCCAATTAACCAAACAAGAACCCGTTAATATTTGTCACGGAGCCATAAACACGTGACAGTATGTAAGAAAAGTTGTAGTCCCCTTCCCAGTGGTTTTCTTTCTAATGTAATAGAACTGAATTGCGCCTGTTGGATTTGAGGTTGTCCCAGCATTGACTATGAATGATGCAGACTTCTGGGTTGTAAATCGGCGTAGGTCGGAGAGAGCACTACACTTCAGGTCGATACTGATTTCTTGCTTGGCTTATTCTTCAACGCTGAAGATGGAGGCGATGTATTCCCCCGAAACGCCTTGCTCTTTCTGAATTACAAGGCAATATAACCCAAAAGACGGTATACAGAATTACTGTTCCTCAGCAAAACGAGAAAAATCGAAACATTGTAGATGGTATTATAACTGATGTTAAATTGTTGCCTTATCCGTGACACAGAATTCTTTAATTTCATGTAACTACTTACTCTTAGCGGCCTCCGTAGTCTAGAGGTAACGTTCCCACCTCATGACTCGTAGTACGCGGGTTCAAATACCCGGCGGAGGTCGTCGAATTTTTAAGGGCGAAAAAATTCAGGGAACAAGTCCTCCGGGAGGGACTTTAAGCCGTGGGTCCCGTGTCGTAGCTTTACGCCACGTAAAAGAACCTCATACCTCCAAAGGAGGTCACTGAGCCAAATTACGGACGTTTGCCGCCCAACAGCAGTCTCTAATACCTCCGGTAGATGGGGGAAGCATTATAGATACTTCTCAGCTAGTAGAGCCGGTCTCGCTGGCTGGGCGGGACTGATGGTAAGCACCAATACCGGTAGGATATAGAGACTGGTAGAAATCATAGAGGGAAGCACAATGGACGACTACAGGTCTACGTGCATGGGGAAATCCACCCTCTCTAATAACTAACTAACTAACTACTTACTCTTTTTCTGGTGACATCTAAATAATGTATTGTTGACACATTGCACATAAAAATTTCAAACATATCATGGAGAAAATCTCTGGTTATTCTATATAACTTCATTCTTAGTATTGAAACTGCATTATGAGGATTATTTAATACTGTGCAGGTTGTCACATCAGAGCCACGGCCACACAAATACGAAAACATTGCACTGCCACGTACCTATGGAATTTCTTCTGAGACGTCACCGCAGAACTACTATGACAGAACAAGCTACCGATCGGTGAGGAATGGTAAGGATGGTATTGTATTTCTACTCTGATGCTTTTGTTTTGTAAGGTTTTCCATAATGAAGCAGGTTGGTGCCACATATTGAGGTGCGAAGTGACAATGTTTCGGAAGAAATAGATTTTGGACAAGAGGTTTGGGAATTTTGATGCAGAAAGAAGTACTAGGAATATTAGGAAGTTGCTAGAATGCAAGAACAAAGAGCAGTGGAAGGAAATGAGAATATATAGATTAAATATAAAGAAAATTGAGAGAGGATTTTAAGAAAGAATGAGAGTGGATTACAAATAAATTTAGACAAGCAGTAATTAGAAGGTGTAGTAACAAAAATGTTTAATTAAAATGTTAATGTATAATGGATTATATCTATAACTTTAGGAGTAGTAATTCTTGTGGGATTCCAGAGCATAGGACCAGTAAGCCAAACCCCTGCACCAAAACTGTAAATTGTAATGGACTTAATAAAGTAATAATTCATTCATAGGGCATTCCATGAGGCATTCTGTAGAACACCATTATGCAGTTAAGTCTATGGTTCACATACAAGCCTCACAATTTATGTACATCCATGGGGTATCTTAGTGCCCAGGTGACCAGAGTACAGCCCGCAATGGAAGCAGAGGCACCGGTCTTCACAAATTTGAATCTGGTCCCGTGGCCACCCAACCAGCTATTCGGTGGATATCCGGGGAACACCTTTCCCAATCTAGTGCCAAGGTTAAGAATGTATGGAGTTTTGCCTCTGCTTTATAGCATACTTTATGGGATGGTGCTAGCACAGTGGCAACATATCACATAAATCTGAGATGACTATACCACAGTTTATGTGTATATTAAGGACTCAAGACAGTAACACATGATTGAGTTATTCTTTTTGAAATATTTTTGTTTCAGATACTGTTTATTTTTCTTGTTCCACCACAATCTGAAAATGTTAACCCTATGAGATAGCTTGATCTCTGTGTGACTGTCTTTGATTGGACGAATAAGATTTGATTTCCTGCAGGGAAGGATTTTCTCTCTGTCACTACTTCCAGCAGGCCCGTCACCCCTATGTCATATTTCTTGGGAAAAAGGATATCTTATACCTCTCCCTTACATACCTTACCAATTCAAATACCTATAGGCATAAATTTGTTTATTCTGTCGTATGTTCTTTTGAAATGTACATACGTATCTCCATGCTGAGTATTCCACCATATCCACACTGGATGAAGGTGGTTGATTAGCTTTATGCTTCAGCCGCTTTACCCCCAGGGATAGAGCTCCTGGCATTACTGGATTGAAGACTGCATGGACACAGAACCAGTGTGGACAAAACACTAACATCAGTTTCTTAACCAGCAGATGTGCATAAAATAAAAGAAGGGGATTACACCTACTATATGAAAATAGAAATATCTGCCATGCAAAATTTGATCATTAATATAATTAATAGGATTAGTTGTCATTATTGGATGTCACATATACCATCTCATTAAATACAGATATAAATTTTAAAGATAGAGTGCAGCAGTGTTGAGAATGTTACTGGCTCCATTTCATTTCACCAAGTTTTCAGAACTTACTGATCATCTTGCCAAATTTTTTACTGCCTTCCAAACAAGGAATAAAGATGGCAGTCAAGGGCACTGCAACCTCTGGGTATATCATTATCCAGGACATTGCATGTGCACAAAATATTCCACTGGTATTGTCATAATAAGCTGGTATTAGGTAAACATCTTAGGTCAATACCCAAATAAGTGTCAGAAAATACAATTTAAAGACATTGGTGTGTTTACATTGTCATTTGTATGGACAGATAAACACAAGTGTGAAAGGTTTTAAGTACTGGTTTCAAAATCTTGTCTTTTTTAAACATATGTTCTAAGAACCTTTCCGGATATATTGATGTAAGCATACTCTAAAGGTAAAATTACCTCCATTTCTAGGCATTGACTGGGGATATGGGTGTAAAGCTCCACACATGTAGACCTTGGCATGGGATGGAGAAGGGTTATCAAGTTAATCATCAAGTTTTCTTTGACCCCTGAGAAAGATCCCATAATCCATATTTGATAAGTTGGTTGTGCTTAGGGGATTCTCTGGATATAGAGGGAAAAATCATTCTGTCCCTGCCATAATCAAATCCCAGCTATTCAGCCCATAGTCAGTCATCTACTGACTGAACTATCATATAACATTCAGATGCATGTAACATTTTATATTACATGTTCATGTGGATGGCAATGCCCTGTACTGATGGAACTTGCTCATGTGAATGGACAACAGAATTATTTAAATTAGTGCTTCTTTTTGTGTAAAAATTTAGCTCTTAACTAACTTACAAATATTGTATGAATTAGGATTGGTTTTACTGAATGTTTTGGGATTCTGTACTCTTGCTTTATGGTCACTGTAATGGTAGTGGGGGGGGGGGACTGTGCCATAGCTCAAGCGGTTAGTTGTTGGCTTCCCACCGCGGCGGCCCGGGTTCGATCCCAGGTCTGGTCGAGTGGGATTTGTGATGGACAAAGTGGCGAGTTTTCTCTGAGTACTTCTGTTTCCCCTGCCAATCTTCATTCCACCAAATTCTCCATCATCATAAACACCAGGGGCAGGCTTCAATAGGCCAATCAGTGGCTGCTGTGCCGAGTGGACCCAGTTTGACTCCACCCCCAACTAAGCAAATTAATGGTAGTGGGCATATATTATGGTGAAAGATTGGTCTTTTGGGTTGTGTCATGTAGTCTTTTATGCAGATACTGACACTTTGGAGAGAAGTTCTGCCTCAGTTTTCAGGGTTGCAGTGTGTAACATGATGAATCATACTCCACCTACACACCTAATGCCTGTAATTAAAGCAATACTTATCTCCAGAATGATGATATCCCATGAAAGACTACACAGTTCCACAACAGAAGCCTACAATCTCAGCAACCATTACTGCAGAAACCTAAAAACATATGTTAGTAATGAAGTTCTTGTTTGTTATTTAGGATTGAAGTCTACTTCATGAAATTTTTATTAATAAATTTTTTTGTCAGGAATTTTGGGAGATCTCTGAGCAGAAGGATTGTTTTTACAGGAGAAACTCAGCTGATGCAACATGTAATTCCATCATCCCATAACTCCAACAGCAACGGGGATCATGTACAAGGAACTGAAATAGTTACTGCTTCTTCACAAGCGAGTGGCATCATCCCGTCAGCCAGGAGTTACAGTTCAGGAGTGTTAGACCAGACATTAGAACTCCAAATTGAACGGTCCCGTTCACATCACTCAGCACAGTCTAATCCAGGAGATGCACATTGGAAAAATAAAGAAGAACAGACAGATACTAACAAGACTGGTATGGAATACTCACACCAGACAGTTGCTGAAGACAAAATAAAATCACATCAGATTTTTAACACAAGCGTTGCAACTAACCCTGATAGGCAATATTCACAAAGGGAGAATGTTTATGACCACACCCAACAGAATATAAGTAAGGTTAGTATTTACAGTGGAAAGTTTGACAGCAATCAGTCTGGAGTTATAGATTATCTTTCAGAAGAGAAAGTTTCTAAGAATGCAACATTAAGCACTACACAGTTTTCAAATACACTAAAAAATGAAACTCATCAAATAGAGATGCTTGGAAAACATCATGGAAATGAACAGTTGACACTTCACAGACAGCCAGGTGGCAGAGATGCTGCTGTTCTGGAGCAAAGTGTTGAAAACACAACGCAGAAACACACGATTCTGACAACAACTCAGTCATCATACAGCAATAAATATGATGGATATGGGGTAACAAGCACAATAGGTTACTTAATGGATGTTTTGGAAGAAAAACACAGTGGACCATACAACACAAGTTCATTAGCACAAGGTCAAGATACTGAGCAGATGGCCATTCCAACCAGCCAACAGTTCAGCCCCTCAGAAAGTGTTTTCAGTACACCAGTATCAGCAAAGAGTGATGCTCCAATGTCATACAGTCAGCCGAATTCAGGAGATGAACACGAGCCAAGGATGCATTCATCACTGGTGTTTAAATGGAAGAACCAATGGACTATGAAAGGTTGGTTGCTCCAAGCTGCAAAAGATGTCTTGTATTGGGTTTCACGGCATTTCTGGGTGTGGCCTAGGTTACAGGAATTGTGCTGGATGTTGGTTAACAGATTAATTACATCATGGATAATTCTTTTGGATTTTGTTATTTTTGAAGGGATAATGGCTTCTGCAGGTGAAATATTTATAATTTCAACTTCTGGGTTATGTTACTTCTTCTTAAAAACTCTTACCATCACATAAATATTAATAAAAATGAATTATTTGTCTGTTATATTGCCTGGCTTTCCAATTTCTTTCTTTCCTCAAAATTGATTTCTGTCAAACTTTTTTCTAAGAATGGTAAGGTGTGATTTACATCACTTATAGTTGTGACACTACTTGGTTCTCACATTGTGAAGTGCATATGATGCATTATCACAAGAGAGTGACAAATTTGAAGTCCAATATGTCGATTTTTTAGATTTTGTATTATTATGCTGAAAGTTGTAATTTGTTATAACAAAGCAATGTTGCAGTGCTTTGAATACAAAGATATTGGTAAATCTTGTACATGTATAACATATGAAATCCATGAAATATCCATAACATATGAGCCAGAATAGCTCAGTTAGTAAAGTGACTGATTATGGGCTTGAATGCAGGGTTGATTCTGGTTGAAGGTAGGGAATTGTCTCTCACCTCTGGCCCTGAAGCTAACCTAGCCTTTATGAAATTTATGCTGCGTTGGAATTATATGGCCAATGTGTGAAAATAGTCCCCCCCCCCCTTCGAGCACTGAGAATTAGAATGTCAATGGCCCTTGTAACATTTAATGGTGTCTAAGAAGCTTTACTTATGCCTTTACTTTATATGAAATAACAAACTCTGAGCATTAATTTTTATGTTTCTAGACAACAGAGGAGAGGACAGAAAATTCTGGACTGAGTTAGTTTTCACTGTGTTTACTTCTAGACCAACCTCCTTAGTGAAGTAGGGCTGTCCTCCATGCATTTTGATCCTAAGTTGTCATATTTAGGTGAAGGTTTCATTTGTCAAACATCCATTATCTTGGGTGTTACATAGTCTCTTGAGTAGCATCCTTAATACATCATAGAGTTGGCTTTGTAATGTTATTGAGAGAGCAGTTTATGGATGCATAATTTGTACACATAAAGATAAAAAATGTAAAGCTATTCCTATAACAGGGGGACCCATAGGGCTCCCAAATTTTTCTAAACATTCAGCTCATGGGTGGAGGTGAGGTTATCAGGCATATACACCGGATTTCCTTTACACCAGGAAGATTCCTGGTACTCATTTTAGTTAGAAGCTGAGTCAACACCGGGGTACATAGTGTAGCTGGAAGGATTAGGTCAATTTAAAATCCAATTACCTCATCAGGACCTGAACCTGTGACCTTTCGGCTTGTAGCATAGTACTCAACCAACTACGCTACTGTGTGTCCCATAATTTATCCATATATAATAATAAAATAGAGAAAGAGGCTCAGACAATAGGCAGATTATCACTCTAAAATAAGTATAGTTTACTATATGCAAGTTGCAAAATTCCATCAGAAATTTAAGATTTTTCTAACTTTAAGAATTGCCAAGCTGATTACATTGTCACAGATCCTGGTAGAAATGTAGAATGAAACTGCTTGTTACAAGTACTGTACATTACAAATGGAAGCGTATCTCCAACATTTAATAGCATTCTGTGTTGCTCATTTTAGAAGATAAAGAAATTATTCCTATTTTATAAATAAACCACTTTCAATTTTGTTTCAGTTATGAGAAAAAAAATCTGTAAAAGACATTGTGGTAGTGTAGGAATAATGTTTAGGGAATATTGCTATAAATTTTTTAAGTTCCAGCTGTAAGTGTGTTTATAAATATATTGTTTATCTGTTGTAGATCAAAATGCATCCCAATACATGGATAACTCAGGAGGATCAAAGATTATCTTTCCAGGAGAACCAGAGGGGTATTCAGTGCCCAAGTTCACTCCAGAAGTCAGTGGTCAGCAGCCTAAATGTGCTGATGAAGATGGCTTCTGTGAATCAGCTGACAACTACCCAGTGTTAGTATTCACACTAACATCTTAAGGGGAATGTCAACACAACCCAATATTTACCTTCATATACTAAATTTTCACATTGCCCTGTGTGATGGGCATCATCATCATCAGCAGTAGCAGAAGCAGCACCACCACCACCTCTATAATAATTCAATTCAATTCTTTATTATTTATGTGCCGAGTCAACAGCCGTAAGGCCAATTACAGACAGAGCACAGGGTAGATACAAGTAATTACATTATGGAAAAACACAACGTAAAGTCAAAGACAAATTACAGGCAAGCACTGGAGGAAAACAAAATAATGCAGACAAGTGTAGGTATATTTGTTAAATCAAATAAAATGAAGGATTATTTATAATTGTATATTTTGTATATCAGATAATTATAAAAAAAGTAAAGCTATCCCTGTAACAGGCCGTGAAGGCCCATAGGGTTGTGAGACGTTGAGGATCCCACATTATCTAGACAATCAGCTCAAAGATGGCGGTAAGGTTGTCAGCCTTACACACCAGCCGCACTTTACTCCCCAGGAAAATTATTTATATAATTCCTGGCACTCATTTCTGTTAGAGGCTGAGTGAACCCCATGGCCATAGTGCGGCTGGAAGGATTAGGTCAAAAATCTACTGACCTCATCGGGATCCCTCAGTGACAAATATGAAAGGTTGTTGGGATTTGGATTGCATTTAAACTTAATTTAGTTTTTATTTTGTCCATCAGAGGAAGCTCCTTTCAAACATTAACTGAAGGAGTGTTTGTTGGATTCCCACAATGGTGGCCATGAAAAGTGCTGTTTTCTGAAATGTAATGCCATGTCGTCCAGTAGAACAGTATTTCCTTTAGACACTGATGAGTTCATAACATATTTTATTCATGGCAATTAAACTCCATTATCTCTTAAGGGACAAGTGAAGCCAGTTTTGTTTAAGCATTTGATTTTAGCTTGCTGACAAACCAGGAGTATATTTTAATTTAAGAGAGACCTACAGCATCAACCAACTGAACAGATTGATCTACAGATAACACTGTAGACTTGTATTTAGAGTGAGCGTGGTTCAAGTCTTGGCTAGGACATCAGCTATCTTGGCAGGAGATTATGGGGGTTTTCCTCAGTCTCTCCATACAAATGTTAGGATAGTAGCTTCCTTAGGCTATGATCACTTCCTTCCAGATACTGTCCAACCATTATTCATATTCATGTCTTTATTTGTTCCAGAAATCCATATTTGGCAATACAGCCTCCAGATATAGAACAAGTCAAGTATCATACAAGTCATATAAGTTACCAAATACTGTAATACTTAACTACATACACAAATTGTGTACAAGTCACAAACATACCATATACTACTATAAAAGTATATTCCAACATTGCTCTTTTGCCTTCTTGAAGGATATGATACATCCATGAGATATCACATTACTGGGCCTAACTATATATTAATTGAATTAAATTTTGTATGTGATCAAAACCCCAACAAGAGAGTGGTGTGAAAGTAATTTTTTATGTATTTATGTATAAACTATTTATTGAAGTTATTAAAATCCTACTGTCTACAAGAATATTAGGTTTCACCAATTAAGATTAAATATTTTGTTTTTCAGAGACTATGTGAGAAGAATTTTCCAAAATGAGGCAAATTCGTATATTTTTGGATCAGATTTGGTGAGTACAACATACAAAACTTCCAGATTTCCATAAACATATAAGAGGTTGTAAAAATTGACATGAGCATAATAAAATAACCTTTAAATCTCATGTGCCATTATTTAAATTCAGTTAAATTGAAAGTAATGTCATTAAATGTTACTGGGTAAATGCATTAATGTTCGGTGCTGATACAGTAATATATGGCCGAATGTAATGTTGTAATGTTGTGTACTATTCATGGCAAAGTAGTCAGCTGACATAAATGAATAGTCCGGTCTTTTCCTTTGGTAATGGGCATAGGAAGGAAGGGACTGATAGTAACCACAGAATACAGACACTGTCTACAAAACACACTGGTGGTTTGGATATTACATTTGAAGATCTGGAATGTAAAATAATCATTTAGTTTGTGTGTTGAAAAAAATGTCAGGTGACCACGACTGAGTGATTTAATTCATGCTTATGGTGTGTGAATTATTTTCGTTTCAGATGGATGTAAATCTCAGAATAAATCCTGATGAAGAAGTGTCGCTTTGTCCTTCCATGGTAAGAATATTTTCTGGAAGAATATTGTGGAACAGTGATGTGCAATTATGATTACCATTCTTTTTGGATATAATGCTGTGTGGGTTTGTAAATGGTTACCAGCATTTTGGAGGAATATGCTTCTTCCATCTTCAAGGAAGCAGTTGGAGGCAGCAGGTTCCTTAAAAACGCTGGTAACCATACAAGATCTACATGACTTGCATTCCAGAAGACCATAACCTTGACAGTTGCTACTGTTAGGACCTCACATCCTACACAGAGTTGCAAAATATGTAAAACAAAAGTGACAAGGTCAATTATATTGTGTTAACATTATTTCATGTTTCCTTCCAGTTAACAGTTACATACCAGGTTTGGAATATACGAGATTTTGAGAGACCCCTGCAAAATAGCCTACTTACAACAATTCATCATTTAACTCCACTGTGGTTGCTTGTAATTATAGACTGAAATAAAATATTTGCAAACATTATTAAGGAAACATGGGTATCATTTTATTAATTTTTGCATAATTTTGTTCCCATTCAATTCTATGAAATGGTTGTTTGATTTTGTTGCGTTTTTCATCCTTATATTACACTTATATTAAATTTGTTTCAAATTAAAATCTGCAAATTACTTATTTATCTAAAAATCAGTTTCTCTTACAAAGAATATGTGGCATTGCAGACAAGTATCCGCTGTTTGTGTGAGGACTAAATTCATTAATGGACACGCAAGTAGACACCTAGTTCGCTCAAAAGCAACACTGGTAAGAGAATAATATGAAGTGGCTGTCTTGTATGTAAAATAGCCATTTTACATGGTTCTCCCTTAAAGAAAGTTAACATATCAGAGGTAGGAATGTATTTTAAAAATAAGTTATGTCATTTCTTCTTAAAAAAAAAACAAAGAATTAGCCATTACTGTAATATTTTAAAGTATAAGTTAATAACTAAACTGTTATAAATACTTGTATTTTTTCATTATTACATGTTTTATATAGAGCTGAGATGATACAACTCAGTGGGCTAGGATCCTAACTCGTTCCCATCCAATGTTTATGTCACTAGCATATGTTGGTGGGCACTGCTAATACCTATGAATACATGTATGAGTATGTTAAACAAATATTATNTCTTCATAGTCACCGCCGTGAAAGCCTCAAATCTTAAATATTATAGTAATTATCAGAAAGTATTTGCAAATAAAACTCTCATAAATAAATTCCTTTGATTTTCCCTTTCATGCTCAGAATGTTTTATTCCTTCAGCAACAGGAGCGAGACCATAAAGCAATTAATCTCTCTTCAAGGTGATAGTCTTCTGAGATATGGCAAAATGTACGTTTACCCTCTTCTGTGGAGTTGCAGTGAAGATGGAGTCATAAAGTTGCTCCAAAATGCTGGAACCTACTCTGAATCACATGCTAGAAGATGGTATTCTTGATAATGACTGCTGTGAGTGCTTCGCTGTTTCAGGAACAAGTGGTGTATCCCAAAGTGGCTCAGAATAAAGATGATAAATGGCTGTATATTATAAATCAGGAGACATATTTTCAAGGAATTCGCATTGAAAAGTGCGCGTGAGTATATTTTCAGTCATAATTTGAAGTTTTGCTGGGACTCCTTAAACATGGAAACTGAACTTCAAATACCGTAACTGGAGAATTTTTTGACTTTCTTGACCTTTTAAGGCAAAATCCTTCTTCTATATAAAGAAATGTGTCTGTGTTCTGATGTGATATCTTGGAGGACTGATACTTCAGCATGATGTTGACACCAATTATGAGGCCCATCCAGTGGGTATTTTGAGGATTTGTTGAAATTCCGTTCTTATTGACCACATGGTAATTAAGCACAGGGAAACGTTGTTATTGTTGTTAGTAGTAGTTGTGGTTGTGGTAGTAGTAGTAGTAGTAGTAGTAGTCCTACTTATTAATATCTCTCTCACCCCATGAAACTTGTTAATAGCATAGGATAATAACACCATGTTGTGTTAGCCATTGTGTTATAGATGTCTGTCTTCTTAAAATTTAATAATTTATCTTTCTTGTTTTTTAGGAAACAGGGTTCTTGTACATTTGCAGAAAATTTTCCAAATGGTTACACAACAAGCTGTCAGCAGAAGTACATCTATCGCAAGCTGATAGCTTTGGGTGAAGATGGCAGGCCTGTTACCGATTCATTTCGCCTCCCATCATGCTGCTCATGTGTCGTCACAAAGTCATTCCGTTCACGAAGGATGGCAAGTGACCTGGGAAAGTCTCAGATTCCATCAAAAAGAAGAAGAAGGAGGTAGGAAGTCCTTTATGCTACATCACAAGGTAAGAACTATATTTGCAGTAGATTTGTGGTTGCTTCCAGGGGGATTGTTAATTAAAATTAGGTCTCTCTTAATACTTCAGATACACCTTTCTTTTGAAATTAACATGTCATCATCATTTCTTCTATTTCTTATACGAAAAGTGTTTTGAGTAATAACATTTTCCACATTCTTAGCTACAAAACTTTTATAATAAAAAAAAGGCGCAGTTATGTTACATGCCATCACTTCTTTCATATTCAACTGCTGGCTTATGAATATAACCTGAATTATAAGGTAAAGTTGTCCCTGTGCTTGACTATTTAAGCACTACACCATGAAGGTGTATAGGGGAGTGGATGTGTAGATCCACATTTTCTTGACCTCGGCACTAGATGGAGGTGAGTGATCAGCTTCACACACCAGTCTTTTACCCCCGCGGAAAGAGCCCCCAGTACACATTGGACAAGAGTTTGGGTGGACCCCAGAGCCAGTCTGGACAATGCAGAGAAGACAACATTCTTGACCCTATTGGGACTCGAACTCATCATGGTTGTCCAGCCCATAACCAGTTGCTGTACTGACTATGTTATCCCGGCTCCAACCTCAATTAGACATTATTTTCTAAAATAAAAATATTTTCTTTAAAACCCCTTGAACTTTATATTGAATGTTTAAAATGCAAATATTGTAAGTCAACTTTTGATAAAAAGTCTTATAAAATCTTCCTTCTATTATATACACATGAACTGATTTGTTTTACATTCAGATGGCTGCCTCCAGATGGAGAAGCTTTCCTTTGAGAGTGTGGAGTTGTGCCTTCCTTTTCTCATGATGAGAAGAACTGTTGGTGTACAGGCACCTTGAATACAAATATCACCAACAACTTTGGCTGTGCTTGTGGGAGGATTTCCCACCAAACTACTATCATAACATGTGAGATTTGTAGTTCTCACATTGTTGACTGTAAAGAGTACTATTGTAATACAGGATAGTTCTTTATTTAGTATGTATAATAGAACCAAGATCTCAACCCACATTGATTCCTATGTCAGGAATTTAGGAGTAGTTTCTATTTTATACTTCAAAATAATAAGGATGAGTTTACTAATGCTGTAATTGTGGTTTATAAATAATTTAATGTGTCCAGAAATTATGAAGTACAATTTGATGAAGCATTCTATGATAAATGTTATGTATTAAATATTTTAGAAACAGTTTGTAATTTAATGTATTGTAAAGTATTAATAAATAACAATAAATACTGAATGAAATTTCCTTGCAGGATATTTTGGAATAGTTATTATAATTACTTCATTTCAAGAAGGTCAGAGTTTTGCCATAATCTTAACCTTTTTACAAAAGGTATGAATTCCCAGAAATCTATTTAACAAGAAAAATATTTTAGACAGACCATGGATATTCCATTAATTTGAAGTCAACAGTTAGAAATAAGATATCAGGACATAAAACATTCACACTTAAATAACACTAAAAGATGATAAATCGTAGTACACATGTACAAAATATGCATTTATTATGTTGATGCTGATGGACATGTGGAAGTCTTTATGGGGAGTGAGATTAAGCTCATGAAATGGCTAAGTTCTGAATACAGTGTAATGTCATGAGGTGACTGCAAAGGGCAGGAAGGATGCTTGGCAACATTAGACAAATGCTAATAAAGTTCTTGAAGCCAAGACAGTTTTAGGCATACGACCATTCAAGTGACTAGACTTTCATGGTAGCGATTACTACCAGAAATAGGGCATAATCTGCTGTACAAAGCCTGGATTGACAGAGGCATTTCTATATTGTACATAGAAATAGTAATTAAGACTAGAATTAGATTGTAATTATATGTCAATACTGACAATGGACTGACTAAGAATTACAAATGACAAACCCGACCTCTCCTCAGAGAGGGCGCCCCAATTGAACAGGACAGCAACTTTCACAAAGAAGAAAACATCTGGTCATGAGCCCCGGCTGGGGCTGGACACCAAGACAGACAGACTGACTGACCGTCACTTGCAACATGACTTTGACTTTGACTTGAAAGTTTTATCACTATGACATTTTTGAGGGAATATAATTGGTCTTCTTTATCAAAACTGCGTGCAGTAAATAGACGGAGGCTTGCTTGAATGCGGAAACCGCAAAGCGAGCCTGTAAATACCATTTCCGTTGTTCTGACATCACTGTACAGATGCAGTGGTAAGTCGTAAATATGTGGCCCTTTAGTTATTGTGAAATAGGAGCGAAAACAATTGGGTGTATTATGTCTACTGAGCATTTCTAAACTTCCCAAGTTACTTCGTGAGCAGAGCACCGCCAGCAGGTTAACAACTTGGTCTTCTTTCAGTGTTGAAGTACTGGTAAGTCTGTGCAAAGGAAACACCACGAAATTCAATTGAAATCCTTTTATATTTGTTTTCACAACACGCATAACGAATGTAGGGCAATATTTAAAATATTTACGCACAGATGTGGAAAATGAAGTAAGGAAAACGGAAATAATGAAAACATAATCGTCAAAGGGACTATACGTCGCAACGACCAAGTGTTAAACGATTGAGTGATTGAGGCTAGCTCTTTCTAAGGGACCCAACAGAACAGATGTTTTCCCTCACTTGAGGACGGAAACGTCGTGTTTTTCCTTAGTTATCTTAAAGACCAGGACGATGGATAAAGTCCGAAAACCCAATATCTCTAAGTGTTAAACGGTTTATAATTTCGTGAAACTATTAAAATGAACTGCACAATGATTCTTTATAATTGTATTTTCGCGTTTATAATATATAATTTAGAAATGGAATCACAAAAATTTCCCGCCTGGAAGCGGGTTAGAATTTCTCCACCGTAGCCCTACGAGTCGTAAAAGACGAAGGAAAGACAACCCGATGCCTGGGATGTAACTGGGCCACCCTGTCACTGGGGGACATAAATATACAGACATGACCCTCCAGGTTGGCGATTGGAAGCAAGGCTGGCGACCTTACTCTGTAAAAAAATTATTGTTGCGAAATCCAAAATAGTTAAAAGCAGATGGTCTAATTCACGACAACCTGAAGAAGGACTTGAAATTAGGAACATGGAAAGTCTTATCATTATACAGACTCCGAAGCACCTAAAATGTTATTGGATCAACTAAAAATAGACTTGCGTATGCTGATGATACGTACATCATAGCAAGAGATCGGAAGATGACGTGGACGATGATGTTGAAGCTCAAGTTGAGCTGTGGCGCCGTCCACGTATAGGCCTTACTTGGCACCGAGGTCAACTTAGGTTATAACAGAAATGAATACCAGGAGTCTTCTTGATTGTAAAGGTAGGCTGACAAATTTACTGCCATCTCTGAACCGATTGTCTAGAAAATGTGAGAGCCTCGACGTCTCACATACCTACAGGCCTTCACGGCCTGTTACAAGGTTAGCTTTACCTTACCTTAGTCCTTATTTAACTGGTTTAGTAAAGGGTCGTATGGTGGGCTGTTGTGAACACGGCGATGAAATTACTGGATGGATAAAAATACGGAACTGATTTGCCGAGTTGGCCCAGTTGTAACTTTTTCAAAAACTATGAGCCTTGGAATTTAGTTACTTAATTGCTAATCAGCATCAGCATGTTGGAATGAGGGAGTCTGGCCGCTTGTTGAACCCTTTCGGGTTCGTTAATCCAGTAGGATTTTGAAAACTCTTCCTCGGTTCCTTGATGTATGTGGTTTGTAATTTCATGATCTTGTTTCATTGTTTTTATTTAAATGCTGAATGCCACTAGTTCTATATTTCGAAATTTTTGTCCATTTTGTGTCCTGTAGTTTTTTTTTTTTTTAATAACTCTCAATTTCCACTACGGTCCGTCCAAGTTTACTTCGCCGTTTGTCTCTTAAACTCCATTTCGGGAGCCGCAGTTCTGATTTTGTCATTAACTTTCGTCCTCCACCGTCCATTCCCGCGTAAGTGTCTGTAAATTAGGGTATTGTAGATTTTAGCTTACTTTCCTTATTTTGTTCATAATTAACCATTCAATTGACTATCTAAAATGCGTGGTGCAGGGTCTTGGAAAGAACATAATTAAGAAATTATCTAATTAAAGCGCAAGAGACGATTCGCTTAGTGGGGGCTGGAGTCCAACTGGGTCCAATCAGCACGGCGGCCACCGGTTAACCTATTGTAGCCTGCTCCTGGTGATTATGATGATGGAGAATTTGGTGGAATGACGATTGGCAAGGGAAACCGAAGTACTCGCAGAAAACCCGCCCCAGCGTCACTTTGTCCTTCACAAATCCAACTTGAGCAGACCCGATATCGAACCCGGGCCGCCGCGGTGGGAAGCCAGCGACTAACCGCTTGAGCTATGGCGCGGCCACAGACGATTACCTTATTATTTATGAATTCTCTAAGACCTCATACCATGGATCTTATATAGTCCATTATTTAGATCGCTATAAATTTTCAGTGACGGGAGCTGAGATAGTTACGTGCCGTTTGCATGGTCGGTGGCTCGACTGCAGTGTACATTCCCTCAACAATGCCTCATTTCAGATCGAAATTTGACCGATTCGCAAACAATTTTTAAGTACCATGTCGATTTCAGAGAACAAAATGAACTCTTTATGTATATATAATTGGAAAGTTGTGAAGATCATTTCTAGGTACTTCCCCGTTCAAGACAAAAACAACTCCGTGGCCTGTAGTCCGCAAGCGAACTATACCGAGTGACCGCCGCATGTCGACGAAGTTAGTGCCAACTTTTGTGGTTAGACGGTGTTACGAACGGTTCCCCACGGCCGTTAATTTCGATTTTCTAGACCGGAGCCGCTATTTCCTTGAAACGACTCCTCAATTATCTTCATGAGACTGAATGGACCCCGTTCCAGATCTAATACTTCTCAGAAAATTTGGTAGCGCTTGGAATCGAACCCGGGACCTCTGGATCTGTATCCAGGAACTCTGACCACTAGACCACAGAGGCGATCACTTCACCGTTATTAACAGAAAAATATATAAGCAAATAATAATAATAATAAGTCTGTGCTCAAATGTTGCTGTGAAGGCCATGAACTGCTCATGTCATGAAGAGTTAAATATTCTGGGATATAACCCCGTGACCTCTGTTGAATCAACCTACTGCTAAGCATTATGTCTCAGGAGAGAGAACTCTTCATAAACAGAATCCTATATCCTTATTTTCTTTTTACGTAGAAATTTTATTTATTCTTTATTATCAGAAAAAAATTCATTATTTTAGTTTTTATTCTGTTTAATGAGGTTTGCCAACTACAAATGAGTGTAGAGTCGAGTGACAAGAAGAGGAAAGGAAAATTGGAAAGATATTGAACGAAGTATCTGCAGTCAAAGGTATAAACTAAGAATTTACCCACACGGAATGAGAGAATTTACGAAATAACTCATCTAATATAAACGACTTTCGGAACAAGAATAGACAACTTAACCCCCCGAAAAAGGAGCAAGAAATACAAAATGAATTGTGTGAAAATTTATATATGCATATATGACATTTTTCCTAACATCCTTCCTACTTGAAATATATAATAATATTTATTTCCTTGTTGCAGTGTCTTCGCTGTCAAAAATGCCCATGCCAATTGCTGTCTTTATGTTGTTAATAATATTCATATTGGTGAGTACCAGTCCTTACATGAAACAAATAATTAACAAGAACGTTGTAATTTATCTAGTGTTATAAGTGGTAATACGAAATTAATGCCCGTGGGGATCCGTTGCGCTGACCACGCGACACCCTCTATCCGCTAAAATTGGCACTAAGTTCGCCAACAAGCGGCGGTCACTCGGTCGGTATAGTTCGCTTGCAGACTACAGGCCACGGAGTTTTTTTATATGTGGTAATATGTCCTAGGGCCCTGGGATGGGAACATTGTAATGTATCTTCAAACGTTTTCATATCACAGAAAAGTTTAAGCATTTACCGATACTAGACGACAACACGAGCAGTAGCGATTATTCGCTTCTTTCGAAATCGACTGGGCAACCGAGGGCTTCCATTAACTGCACAAGCTGATCCATGTTTCTTCCCGTTGGCAGGCGAATACTTCGATTGGATATGCCGTCTGGGGTCAGAAGAGTTCCCATTTTCGTACGAGAGGTAGGTGTCAAGCCATAAAGTCCAGTGAAAGTGATCAGGTTCTGTACCTGCACGGACCGATCAGAAAACACCGTTTACAACATTAACACTATTGTTGTGTGCGTATTTTTTTGCAGTGGGAACGTGTTTGCCTAACCGTTTCCTAGAAACGGGTTGCATAACACTATTGTTTATTCGCCTATTGCACAGAAACGGCTATACACATCACAATACATATTATCTTCTCAGCTTCTCGGTCTTTCTAGTGGTATCTTCCTTCTTCTTCTTCTGCTTCAACTTATTATTATTGCTATTATCGGGGGCAAGCAGTAGCATAGTTGGTTGAGGCACTATGCTTCAAGTCGGAAGGTCACGGGTTCGATTCCCAATAAGGCCATTGGATTTTTCAATTGACCTATACTTCCTGCTGCACTATGGCCCTGGGGTCGACTCAGCCTCTAACAGCAATGAACACCAAGAATCTTCCTAGGGTTAATGGGCTGCCGGCGCGTAAGGCTGACAACTTCACCGCCATCTGCGAGCCGATTGTCTAGAAAATATGGGAACCTCGACGTCTTACAACCCTATGGGCCTCTAAAGCCTGTTACAGGGATAATTTTTCTTCTTCTTCTTATTGTTATCATCTTCATCGTCTTCAGAATTTGTTACTCCTCTTAACTTACACTTTCTCCATGCAGAGGTAAGAGGAAGGGGAAAGAAAGTGTAAAGCACGAACTCACATGATCTAAAGAAAAATGGTTAAAGGAACCTGAGCCGGCTGGAATTGATTAATTGATTTCGAATTCTTTGAGAGTGTTAAAATTTAAATTATATTTCCTTCATTTAGGATATTTTTATGAAGATAAACCTCACGAAGGAAGAAGATTGAAGAGACTTCAGCACAGCGTCAGTCCGAAACCTCGGGACACCGAAAATAATGTTACGTTCATTGAAGACGTGTCGGATTATCCTGAGTGAGTACCGCGCCTTCTATCGAGCGGCACGGCAGCCCGCGTGACTGCCTTAGCATAGCGTCTAGTGGCGGGATTGTCTACTAACAAGGCAATGAAACTTCAGGAATATCTTCACCAGATGAGTGGCAGTCTGAGAAATACCTTTCACTATCAGCTATCAGCTGGTCACTGTAGCCGAACGGTCTGAGGCATGCACGGTCTTCGCTAGCTCGAAAGCCGGGATCGTGGGTTCGAATCCCACACTCATGTTTGGTGTGTGTATATGTTTATTCTGTGTTTAGATAGAGGCCTTGCGACGAGCTGATCACTCATCCAAGAAGTCCTACCGTCTGTAAAATGATCATGAAACTGAGAAATCAGCCCCGTGCTCCAAAGTAGGAACATGGAGAGCGAAAAAACATGGCTATCAACAAGTGCTTTTTATTTTGAAAATGTCGAACAGTCATTTGAATAACATTTCTGAAATAATCCTTTGTTGCAGAAAGATGTTAAAGGAAATTCTTAAAATGGAAGGAAAAGTACACAAGGACATTTTCGGGAGAGATTTCTTGTTTAAGGTGAGAGGATATTAATCATAAGTATCAGGGAAGGTAAGGAACTGGGATAGGGCAGTCGATATAGTGACTTGACTACTAGTTGGACGGCCGAGGGGTCGCAGTTCGAGTCCCGGTTGGGGAAACATTTTTCTTCTCTCCACCTCGTCCAGACCGGTTCTGGAGTCCACCCAACCTCCTATCCAAAAGTTACCGGGGGCTCTTTCCCGGGGATAAAGAGGCCGGAGCCTGAAGCTGCCCACTCACCTGCAACTAATGCCAAGGTCAAGAAAATGTGGATCTGTACAAGCACTCCCCTATACGTCTTCATGGCGTAGTGCTTAATTAGTTAAGCTCAAGGAAACCTTACCTTTTTTTAACCTTTTATGAAGGAAGGTAACATTCGCAGTTTCCATTTTGAATATTTCGTCAAATATTAGTCTGCATAAATAGCATAAATGTATATATATATATATACAGTGTCAAGAGGTAACGACCGGTTACAATATGTATATATACACACGCACACCAGGGGCTCAGCGTGTTCACAAACTAATCATGTTTAACAGTGTTGCCATAACTAACTAACTAACTAACTACCTTCAGGGAACTGAGCCTTTCTTGAGAAGCCGCCAGTTATGTAGCTACTCAAGAATTTACCAGCTTTTTATGGAACCCGATGGTTCATTACCTTGTTCAGAAGAGCCCTGCACTGTTGCCATAACACGCACTATTAAAATACTACCAAATATAAGTATCAAGAAGCTCTTCTAAATGTGAGATTTACATATTCGTAAATATGATGACAGATTTAGCTCTCGGCTTAATTATTTCTACCTAAGAGAATGCCTGCAGAGCTCAAGTGTCACACTGTGTTACCAATATCTCACGTGACATCAATGAGATTGTGTTGTATAGAGAGGCATGTTAAGGCCTTTATTTTTTTTAAGGTAAAAGTAAAGTTGTCTCTGTGCTTAACTAACTAAGCACTACGCCATGAAGACGTATGGGGGAGTGGATGTATGTATCCACCTTGGCACCAGTTGGAGGTGAGTGGTCAGCTTCACGCCCAGGCCACTTTACCCCGGGGAAAGAATCCCCGTTACCCTTTGTATAGGAGGTTGTGTGGACCCCAGAGCCGGTGGACGTGGAGAAGTGAAAATTCTTGACCGTACCCAGACTCGAACTCTGAACTCAAGGTCGTCCAGCCCGTAACTACGCTATCCCGGCTCCTATATTATTTCTGTAGATGTTAAAAATGCATATTTTTATCTCGTATAATAAATATGGAACTTAAAATCTTCTGTAAATGTGACAATGAGAAACCGAAGAGGGCACAGTCATATTTTTAAAGTAAACAGGAGGAAGGAAGGTTAAAAACGGAAAATAAATATCACTTCAATAAAGTAAATTGAAGTTGATGGTTTTAATATCAACAGATTTAGTATTTTGAGGGGAAGAAGAGAGCATTGAAATGAAATTTAGGCCTTCATCATAATTACTTGCATTTATATTATTAACATTTTTAGTGACCCAGACTTCGACCTAAGATGTCTTCTGATTCTTCCAGGAACGTACTATCAGCACAAGAATAGAGCCAGAAGAAACGAAGCTCTGTCCATCACTGGTATGTTCAAATGTTATGCGTGTTCGTTATTGCTGTAAAAGTCTTGTGATATGTTACTTGGTATGATACGAATTCACAGACATTCTGAGGGATGTACTGCCTCCATCTTCAGGGTCAAAATATAAGATAAACAAGCAAACGACAAGCATTCTGCCTACTGTCTGCATGGCTTACTCTATTAGAGGAAGTATGTTCCTCCGAAAAAGCGGTAACATTCTACCTGATCCCAAGGCGTAACATGCCAGAAGGCAGCGCTGTGCATAGTGACACTTGTAAGAACCTCAGATATCACAATCAGTACTGGTGGGTCTGAAAAGTATATCTGGCTAATTAATACATTATTTAACTACAAGAATAGAGGCATGTGGAATGAATGTGAAGGTCTTTGGTTTGTGAGGATCAAGGCTCGCAATTCTTGTGTGTGAAAACTACCGTCTCAACGAATGTGGCGACATATAGTCTGGTGGATGTTCGCTGCAGCATTTCTTGAGGATCGCGCTGCCTCCATATTTAGGGCACCTTGCTAAAACTATTCCAGACAACACGACGGCACATATTAAAAGATAGTAAGCTTCCTTTTGGCCTCGCCATAGCTCAAGCGGTTAGTCGCTGGCTTCCCACAGCGGCGGCCCGGTTTCGATCCCGGGTCTGGTCAAGTGGGATTTGTGGTGGACAAAGTGGCGCTGAGGCAGGTTTTCTCAGATTACTTCGGTTTCCCCTGCCAATCTTCATTCCACCAATTGCTCCACAATCACCCTCACCTATCATCTGGGGCTGGTACAATAGGCCGGAAGTGGCCGGAGTACAAGGGACTTAGTCCCACCCACTAGCAATAAAGGAAGGCTTCCTTTTGTGTTAGATTTGGGCCACACGGATGTACGTATATGTTGCAGGAGAAGCTGGTCTACCCAAAGTTAGCCCTGAATACGGATAACGACTGGAAATACGTTGTGAACGTGGGAGAGGAATATGTCCAAGGCGTCAGAGTTGAGACATGTGGGTAAGTTTTCTTATTGCAGTTGTGATGTTAACGGGCGGTAACATCTATTTACGAGTACATATTGGGCCAACTTCCGTTTATAATTATTAAACTACTGTGTGAGATAAAATTTACGTTTTGAATTCAGCATAATAATTAGAATAAGCAGTTGTAAATGTCGCGGAATTAATAATGATCTTTATTTTCTTTATGGAATAGAGAGATTGAAACGGGATGCTATTGTTTCCCATCATCATCATATTCTCAACAGCCCTTCACTCGTCCCATTTCTGAGCCACATTGTTCCAGTCCAAGCCTTTATCATATTTTTATGGTCAATTTTAATATCCTCCCATCTACGCCTAGGTCTTCCAAGTGGTATCTTTCCTTGAAGCTCTTCTGCGAGAAGTGTGCACGCATTTCTCCTCTCTGGCTGACTACTGCCGAGGTCAAGAAGGTCTATACATCCACTCCCCCATAAGCCTTCATGGCACAGTGCTAACTTAGTTAAGCACAGAGACAACTTTACCTTACCTTAGAATACACATGTCCACAGATACTTGTGGGTGAGATCTGGCATGCAGTGATGATGTTCTGTTTGTCCGCAGCCACTTCGAGAAGTGCTCTATGAGCGACTCCTTCCCGGCTGGTTACACCACGAAATGTGAGCAGCAGTATGTCTTTAGGAGACTTCTCTCTGTGGCAGACAAGGGCAAAACTGTAATGGATGAATTCCGTTTTCCCTCGTGCTGTTTATGTACCATAAGAGGACCATCTTAAGGCTAAGATTTTTCCGTTTAATTCAGCATTTTGAGGACTTCTGGTGACTGTGGAGTGAACAGAAATAAATTACGTTTACGAAGAATACAATATTTTGGAATGTGACAATTATAATTGTGTAGAAATTTACAGAAATTTCGAAAGTACCTCTGTCTCCATTTTCAGGGTCAAATAGTAGGATGAGCAAGAAGCATCTCTACTTCCTGTATATTTAGCTAATCCTTTCGATCATGAAGATGCAGTCAGTGTGTTCCAAGCGGCCTCCGTAGTCTAGAGGTAACGTTCCCACCTCATGACTCGTAGTACGCGGGTTCAAATACCCGGCGGAGGTCGTCGAATTTTTAAGAGGGGAAAAATTCAGGGATCAAGTCCTCCGGGAGGGACTTTAAGCCGTGGGTCCCATGTCGTAGCGTTACGGCACGTAAAATGTCCTCATGTCTCTAGGAGACCTCTGAGCAAAATTAGGCAACAATTTCTCGCCCAAGTAGTTTCCAATGCCTCTGGTAGATGGGGGAAATATCAGGTACCGACGGCCGACCTCGTTGGCTGAACGGGGCTGATAGCACGCACCAGTACCGGTAGGGTATGGCGACAGTAGAAATTAAAGGGGGACGCACAATGGACCAATAAGTGGTCTAAGTGCATGGGGAAACCCACCCCTTCTAATAATAATAATAATAATAATAATAGGTTGGATAATCTTAAGCAAACAGGCAGCATTGACAATTTGGTCTTAGATGGGAAGTTAATGGTAAAATTGATGTTACAGAAGTAATTTGCAAGTGAATGCACTAAATTTCTCTGACTCAAGTTATGTTCTAATGGCGATTCTTGAGAGCGAGGTAATGCATAAATTTCAACTATCAGAGCTGGTACCAAGTTCTCAAGAAGGGCTGTTTCATTGAATTTAAAATATATGTGAAGACAAATTGGGGAGAGCTGGTGGAGATTAGTGGTCGAAGAGAGCATGCGCCAACAGGACCACAAGGAAAAGGAACAACTGAGAGAGGCAGGAGAAGGGGACTTCAGCGTAAGAGTTCAGGCAATATATCGACAAATGTCTGAAATTGAAGCAAGCAAAAAAGAAAGTACTTTTTTAAAACCATTTATATTTCAGAATGTATGAGTATTTTATAATAATTAAGATAAATCATTGTAATGAATATCCATGAAAATTAAGTATCATATCTACAAATCTTAGAGACAGAATATGTTGAACCCATATTGTTTTACCACGCACAACTAGAACACTGTAAATGCCTTCGAAGTAACCCGTTCTGGCTGTGAATAATTATGCACAAAATCGTCTCCTCATCTATTATGTTCCCAAAAATACAAATTTATAAAGACACACGAAAGTCAGACTGTAAAGCTATTAACTTTGCTTCAGTCCACTAGCCATTCATAATTATGTTATTAACCTCTCCCAGTAATTTCTCATTGAGTTCTAAATCTTTCATTTTATTGGTTTAAGTACGGTTTGAAGTTTAATTTCCTTAGGCAAAAATAAAATAGCTCAGGTTGTTAGTTACCAGAATATTACAGTTTTTGTAGGTCACAGTGTGAGCAAATTACACTGATTTGTATCCCCTGTAATCTGTGTTCCATATTTACCCACGAAATGGCACTGCGTGAGGTCATACCCTAATTATTTTATGCCACAATAACTCCACTAATGTTGGTTTAAATCTAGGTTAATCCATGTTGCAGTTCTGGAGAATAATGTTGAATGTTTTAAGGTTATATTTCCAATTAATTCCATAATAGCTTCTCCAACGATGGTCAAATCCAATTTAATTCATACTGAATTAGTGGAAGGCAAAGTAGAAATTTTCCGGGTCACCCTTCAAGTACTTCAGGTCAATCATCATCATCATCATCATGGGGAACTGGTACAATGCATATTTTAAAGACTACGTTGTCAAGAGATTCAGTACATTTTTCATAATAACTGCGCGAATACCATGATATTTTGCAGAAACCTTTCTGAGGGACTGGAGTACAAGTGTAGACCTCTGCTGATCTCTGTAGTCTCTGGAGTAAAGCAATCGGCTTCTGTAGACAAGTGTATTGCAGTTGGTATGTTTGCCCACCGATAACCTGCTACTTGAACATTATAACCTAAAGACTGTAAGTTCGCTTAGTGAGGGGTGTGGAGTCCAACTGGGTCCACTCGGCACGGCGGCCACTGATTGGCCTATTGTACCTGCCCTGGGTGATTATGATGATGGAGAATTTGGTGGAATGAAGATTGGCAAGGGAAACCGAAGTACTCGGAGAAAACCCACCCCAGCGCAACTTTGTCCACCACAAATTCCAATTGATCTGACCCGGGATCGAATCCGGGCCGCCACAGTGGGAAGCCAGCGACTGACCGCTTGAGCTATGGCGCGACCCAAGACTGTAAGTTACTCGAACTCGTTATTTTTCAACAATGCTTTGTGATCCACTGTGGCTTGTTGACTGAAACTCCTCCGTCCATAGTTCAGTAGAACATACCGTGGTTCAGTTGTCTGCGAACATCTTCCATCTGTAGTACATGGAGGGTGGGGGTGTCACTACGTTTGAAGGACCTGTGTAATATTTCAGGATGACTGGAACGGGTGTATGTAGCCCCTGTTGGGGCCCATCGTGTCCTCTGTACCGCTCTGACGAGCAGAGTGCAGGGGATAGCAGTGAGAAGCGCTGATTGGGAGATGAAGTAGCTGGCCGATGGAACGCTGACTCCTGGCCGAGATTTGCTGCAAACGGGAAAGAGAATGTGAAACATGAAATGCGGGCATAAGAGCAGGACACGCGGCTGTGAGGATGAAATGGGAACGTTACGAAAGCAAAGGCGAGCTTAATAAGGACTGCCCATAGAGAGAGAGAGCGAGAGAAAGTAAAGCTATCCCCATCACAGGCCGTGAAGACCCATAGGGTTGTGAGACGTCGAGGCTTCCACATTTTCTACACAATAGACTCAAAGATGGCGGTAAGTTTGTCAGCCTTACGCTCCGGCCGCGCTTTACTCCCCAGGAAAATTCCTGGTACTTATTTCTGTTAGAGGCTGAGTCTACCCCAGGACCGTAGTGCGGCTGGAAGAATTAGGTCAGTTGAAAAATGCATTGACCTCATTGAGAATCGATCCGCGACCTTCTGGCTTGTAGTATAGTGCCTCAAACAACTACGCTACTATGTGCCCCATGGCCATACAGAATAATAGATTGAATTTATAGTTCTCTTAAATTTACAGAATAGAATTTTCCTTGACATAGCCTGTAGAACAAATTGAAAATACACGTTTATTGTGCTTGGAGGTATAAAACAAAACTGACTAATCATGTATCGTATTTGAAGACACATAGAAAAGAAATAACATAATAGAAACCTATTGACATGTTTCACATGGTGAAGCTAAAAGAAATAATAGACGGCCTGAACTTGTAACGGACAAATTAATGAATAAGTTAAAAAATGAAACTCATACCCAAATATACGGAAAATATTTGTCCTTACTAGGGGTTTTCTTGATTTCCATCAGTATTTTTATGACAATACAGTGACAATACTGGAAATGAAAGACACGTAAAAATATATTAATGTACAAACGAAAAGAAAGTTACAAAGAGACGGACAAATAGAAATACCTCCAGAAATATGACCCACGACTCTGAAGATGGAGATGTTACGAAATATATATTATTAAAACGAGTGACGTGTTGTATATGTGAGCCAGAATGGCTAAGTCGGTATAGCGACCAGGCTACGCGCTTGACGACCGAGATATCGGAGTTCGATTCCAGATAAGGAAAAGAGAGTTTTCTCCATAATATCCTTACCGGATCTGGGCTTCAACCACCCTCCTATACAGTGGATACCGGGGGCTGTTTCCTTGGGGGTAAGACAGTCGGAGCGTCAATTTGACCACTCCATATAGTGCAGAGGTTACGGATGACGGAGCTGTACCTCCACTCCCCAAATGTCTTCATGGTGTGGTGCTTAATCAGATAAGCTCAGACACAGATTTACCTTATCACATGTAACTCGCGCGGTGGCACGCGGCAGCGTAGTTGGTTGAGGCACTATGCTACAAGCCGGAAGGTCGCGGAGTCAAGTCCTGATGAGGTCAGAGGATTTTTTTCAATTGACCTAATCCTTCCAGCCGCACTATGACCCTGTGATCGACTCAGGCTCTAACAGAAGTGAGTACCAGGAATCTTTCTGTGGGGTAAAGTGCGGCCAGCGCATAAGGCTGACAAACTCACCGCCATCTGTGAGCCGATTGTCTAGAAAATATGGGTACCTCAACGTCTCACAACCCTATGGGCCTCCACGGCCTGTTACAGGGATAGCTTTACTTTTTTGCTTACATGTTCGTGGCGTGTTATATTTTTCTCTTGTCTTATATTCCTGAACCAGTATCTTACACTGTTTCATTAAACATGCTCTCCATTTTCGCGCAAAGGGGGGGCGGTTCTGAACGTATGTGCAAGAAGAGAAAATGACAGCCGACGTAACGCACCAGCAGACACCATTTTCTCTTGACGTCGGGAAGACCGACAGTGGCCCGTTTCCCCGCGGCATACTGCACATGCGCACGTCCTGGATCTCAGAGGTTTGTCTTCGGGTGACGAGGCTGAAACAGGAAAAATACTATCAGAATTGCTGGGTTTTTGGACTTTGTCCATCAACCCCTATTCTAAAAAAGACACTAGAGGACACAGCGTTTCGGAAAGTGGATCTGTTACCGTCTACAGATGAGGAAGGTGACAAGCGGTCTGTTAGGTGCCTCAGTTACTGGATCTGAAGGTTAATTCTTTCTAACGGACTCAGAAAGTGGGGGGTCTCTCCTCTCACCTGACGATGGAAACAGATCCATTTTCAGAAACGTTGTGGTTTCTAGTTTCTAGGACAGGGGACGAAGGACGAAGGACAAAAACGCAATAATTCCGAGTTCTAAACCCTTTAGAATCTAGGAATAACAGATGCTGACCCACATTTATGCACTTACATATTTTACAGTTAGCTATAAGCCGGGTTAGCGCCGTCGACATAACGACAAAATTGGACGGATAGGGTTCGATTCCTGGCGGGGGCTCATCCAGCCTCTAATAGAATGGGTACTGGGGGGTTTCCCTGGGTGGTAAAACAGGTCCTTCATACGTCTTCATGGCGTGGTGATCAATTAATTAAACACAGGGAAAAATTTACTCTTACTCTGCTTTACTTTAATTGTACCTATTTTACAGTAATTCTCTGTCGTCCATACTGCTCGTGTGATTGTCTTTAAAACACTTCATAATTGTGAGATCATTGAAAAGGATCGACATTTCGAATGGTGCGCAGAAGCAAGAAAAATACGTGGTCCTTTCGAAAACACGAAGTTAATTTCTTACTTAGTCTGTTTATTTTATAATATATAATGAATTTTGCAATAGAATAAGACTTAAACCCGTGATATATTTTCTTGTACGGTTTTGTTGTAACGATGGGCACAGATATATGGTATTAGAAGATAAAGCTCCTCAGAAATTCGCTTTGTTTATGCGTCATACGGGAATAATATTCAAGCATCAGTTTTATAATTAATGAAAAGAATAAAAACACTCTAAGTGAAAATACTGTCCAACACTAACGTATGTAATGACACTGTAACATAGCCTCTTCATATATTCTTTCTACTTTTGACTTGCCTACGAGAATTTCAGAATTACGGAACTGCGTACAAGAAATTTTGAATTTCTTCCTTTCTACTTAATATCTATGAAGTATGTAAAGTAAAACTATCCCTGTATCAGGCCGTGAAGGCCCATAGGGTTGTGAGACGTTGAGGCTCCCACGTTATCTAGACAATCGGCTCAAAGATGGCGGTAAGGTTGTCAGCCTTACGCGCCGGCCGAGCTTTACTCCACAAGAAAATTATTTAATTAATTCCTGTTACTCATTTCTGTTAGATGCTGAGTCGACCTCAGGGTCATAGTGGAAGGATTAGGTCAATTAAAAAAATTCAATGACCTCATCGGGACTTGAACGCGCCACCTTCCGGCTTGTAGCATAGTGCCTCAACCAACTACGTTACCGCGTGCAACAAGTTAATATCTATACCACTTCTAAAAGACGGATAAAGTTCTTAATTTGGTTTTAATTCTGCATAAAATTATTATTATAAGTCAGAGTTACGAAATTATGCGTGAATTCTAATTATGAATATTGTTACGTTTATTAAGTCAGTTAAGAAAAACACGAACATTTTTCTTTACTTTTGGTAGTATCACAGAATAGTGTCTGACGATATATGAAATGAAAGAAACACTCACGTGGCTTATACCAAGCCGGCAACGCTTCAGACTGGCATTCATGAGGTACTTGGTCCAAATCTTGACTGGAGCACTGACTATCCCTACTGATATCTCCATTGTTTTCTTCAGTTCCCCTAGTCAAATTCCGGGAAAGCATCTCATTCCACATCCTCCCACATTCTTTCTTCACTGTCATCCCATCATTCTGCGCTACGCATTCTGAGCCGCTGAGGGAGTTCTTAAATAATCGACAAACAGAACACAAACTCACGAGGCGAGAAAGCTAGATCCTGGTTCTTCAGGCACTTGATAACGCTGTGTAGCCCCTCCTTGATGGGTACATGGGTCACGTGACCCAACAACGCTGCCGCAGCGCCCGCCGATTGGTTTATCATGCACATCTCTCCCTGAGGTGATGTTGTATAGAACAGGGATCCTGCAAACACCAGATTTACGGCTTAAACTTAGAGGCGGTCAAGCATACGACCGTTCAAGTGACTAGACTGCCGTTGTAGCGGAAGCTACTTGAAATAGGGCATAGTGTGCTGTACTGAGCCTAAACTGACAAAGGCCTTATATGTATATGAAATCAGATAACAACTGTAAACTTATAAATAATTGTACATACTGACAATGGACTAAAGTACTGACATTTACTGAGAAATAAGAGACCCGACCTCTCGTCAGAGAGGGCGTCACACATGGACAGGACTAACTTTCAAGCAAGAAGAGACGTCTTGTCATGAGCCCCAGGGTCAGCTCGACAGCAAGAGGGACAGACTGACTGGCCGTCAGTCGCAATGTGACTTTGACTTGACTAGATTTAGGCAATGCCCCGATATACAGAGCATGTCTTGATAATGTTTTCACTTGTGTTCTTTCGAGCTTCAGCAGACACTATGAACATCTTCAGTAAAAACAAACGACATTTCTTTATTTACATTTTTACTTTATATTGCAGTTTTCTGTTATTTTTTTTCAATGACTCTCCCAGTCTATTCAGGGCCCAGGCCAGTTCCGTAATCGTTTTTCACAGACGGTAGGACTCCTTGGACGAGTGAGCAGCCCGTCGCAAGGCCGTTACCTAAACACAGAATAAACACATACTCGCGCAAAACATCCATGCCCTGAGTGGGATTCGAAACCACGATCCCAGTGTTCGAGCGAGCGAAGACAGTTCATACCTCAGACCGCGTGGCTACTGTGACCTGCTTTTCTGTTATTTACACCGTAAAATAAAGGTTGAAAGCACACAAAATGTGATAATATTATTCTGGGGCACATGTTACGAGTGAAAACGAGAGTTTGGGTACTTAATTTTCATTGAGCGAAGTTAGCTTGCTCTTTTTGCAAACATAACAAAAAGAAAAACAAAGCACATGCATCTTAATACAACTAAACATGCAAATATAAGAGAGAGGAAGTTACGTAATGGAGACGAACATAACATAGCATAACAAATGAGAAATATAATATAACCCACACCATACAAGAAAGCATACAATCTGGCAATAAGGCATATTATGCCAACCTACAGTCACAAAAATCTAAGGATATAACCAGGAATATGAAAATATATAAAACATTAATACGTCCCGTAGTAACATACAGCAATGAGACATGGATGTTAAAGAAACAGGAATAGAATAATATATGGGCCGACAAAACAAGAAGAACAGCTAAGAATTAGAAACAATAAAGAAATAGATGAGATACTGAAGAAAGAAGATATAGTTAGTAAGATTTGAGGTTTTCACGGCGGTGACTATGAAGAAAGCAGTCTTCTGGGATGTGGCACCGTGTTGATGTGATCTTAACCGACGTTTCAGAGGAACGTATCTCCTCCATCTTCAGGGTAGAAGGGAAAAAATAAGGAATACTCAAGCGAAGAGACCGTGAGAACCGGTACAAGCAGACTGTCAGTATGTTCTCTCTATATATATCTGCAATTTATTGAGACATGTGAAGATTTACCTAGTCGATTGCTCGCGTTGCATACTGGGAACACTTTGGATGCAACCTGTTCATGACTCCAAACTCGCCATAACTCCCTGATAGCAGGATCAAGCTGTGGGCTCTGGAAGCAACATTTAATAATATTACGTGAGGAGTTATACATAACGCCGTGTATTCCGTTGAAATTCAACTGACGTTTCAGGTGAAAATGTCGCCTCTGTCCTAATAGTAGACGAAAAGTCATGCAAGAAATCAGCATGAAGCAGGTTGCAGTGCTTTCAACGGAACACACGGAGTTACACTCATAACCACCGTTGTCAGAACCTAAAATCTTCTATTACTTCGTGAGATTTGTAGTACTCACATAGTGAATATGTAATTTTTTTATTGCTGGTGAGGTGGGACTAAGTCCCTTGTACTGCGGCCACTTCTGGCCTATTGTACCAGCCCCAGATGATAGGTGAGGGTAATTGTGGAGCAATTGGTGGAATGAAGATTGGCAGGGGAAACCGAAGTACTCGGAGAAAACCTGCCCCAGCGCGACTTTTTTTTTTACCTTGACACTACAGCCCCAGTGCACCTAGGCCTACCTCCATGAATTTCTCCGTTCACTTCGTTTTTCTAGATCTTACACATTCAGTAGGACTCCTTGGGCGGGTGATCAGCTCGTCGCAAGGCCTCTACCTGTACACAAACACAGAAAAACGCGCACACACAAACTAAACATCCATGCCCTGAGTGGAATTCGAACCCACGATTCCGGTTTCCTAAGCGAGCGAAGGCAGTACACACCTTAGACCGCTCGGCTACCGTGACCGGCCCAGCGCCACTTTGCCCTCCACAAATCCCATTTGACCAGACCCGGGATCGAACTCGGGCCGCCGCGGTGGAAAGCCAGCTACTAACCGCTTGAGCTATGACGCGGCCCTTAGTAAATATGTAACTTACAGCCTTCTGGGATGTGATAAAATATAGTTTGGTAGCTAAATATCGTCCTTTCAGAGAAAGTTTTTACCGTTATTTTCATGGCGCAAAAAATGTAGGTAAAAGGATAATGGTTCCTTTCTACCAATCTATATGGCGTCACATTAAAGGACCTTCTAATAGTGCCTACGTGTATTTGGACGTATGTATTAAGGAACTCCTGCATTAAATCTTTTTAAATTTCTCAAATAATTAGTGGAATAGAAGCAAAATTATTTCTGACTCCAGGCACTGTTATGATATCTGTCGGACGATGGCATTTGAGTGCCTCATGAAATGCAAAGTCTGATCAGAGAGCACTGACACATAAATTGAAACAGATACACTAACATACAAACGGAACCTAATTCAATGGGAAGAATATTTTCTGTTCGGATGTGACACCATGCTGTCTGGAAGAAAGTTACTGGCATGTGTGATGAAGGCACGGCCTCCTCCCGTTTCCAGAATGATTTCAGCTTGTTTGGCTTATTTTTCGGCCCTGAGGAAGGAAAGAGTATATTCTTCCCAAAGGCCGAGCCTCAGCTCAAGCGGTTAGTCGCTGGCTTCCCACCGCGACGGCCCGGGTTCGATCCTGGGTCTGGTCAAGTGGGATTTGTGGTGGACAAAGTGGCGCTGTGGCGGGTTTTCTCCGAATACTTCGGTTTCCCCTGCCAATCTTCATTCCACCAAATTCTCCATCATCATAATCACCCCGGCCAGGCTACAATAGGCCAATCAGTGGCCGCCGTGCCGAGTGGACCCAGCTGGACTCCACCCCCCCCCCCACTAGCGAATTAAAAAAATTCTTCCCAAAGGCCTATAAACTTCTGCCAAATTATCCTACGCCAAATTCTAAGAATAACAGGGATTACTGGGTTCATGATCTTTGACAATCGGCCAAGGAAAAAGAAATACGCAATCAACAGAGCCATTAGGATTTACAGAAAGGCAGTAAGTACCCTTCATTGTCACTACCATGGGAGCCTCACATTCTAAACGTTCTGGTGAGCATTAATTTCTTATTCAACGTAAGTTCTTTATCTCAGTTTTCACAGATACACTCTCGATATATTTTGATCAGCCCATACGAATATAAATTAATATTGTGACTTGTCAACACATTGCCAGACAACGGCGAGATAAACGCCTACTCGCTTAAGGTCACGCAACAATAGGACGAATATTTATAGCTCGTCGCTATGCAACAGTCAGCGCGCCAATGAATTGACAAAATGGTTATAACGTGAGTTGTTTTCTGTGTGGTCTGCGCTGCGCAATAATAGAACTGTGTTTTCTGTGCGTCGTCCGTGCCGAAAGGATATGAGAGAATACGGGAAAGGGAATTGACTTCACTTGAGTTGCGAAGTTCCAAAGGGACGACAGAGTAGCCAGAAGAATAATTAGAAGTCTTAGTGTGTGACGTTACATGTGCTATTTTGAATTGTTTCATTTTTTGGTCCGTTACACTATCAATCACAAAGTCAATAGAAAGTCCGTCGAGTGTAACAATTTGTAGGTCACTTCTTTATCACTTCTGCCTTACATGTTTCGGTTTAAATACAACCATCATCAGAGGCACATAGTACAATCATGAAAACACTGTTGTTGTTTAAGATGTACACAGTTATGTTTGCTGCGTGGACGCTGCTACAATATGTCGACGTGTAAAAGCACAACACTTGCTAAGATTGTTGAATGCACTATTTCATCCTAAACTGCCCTCAAGTTAAAATGCCAATGTTAAAATATTTTAAAAATTTGTGCTTTTACACGTCGACATATTGTAGCAGCGTCCACGCAGCAAATATAACTGTGTACATCTTAAACAACAACAGTGTTTTCATGATTGTACTATGTGCCTCTGATGATGGTTGTATTTAAACCGAAACATGTAAGGCAGAAGTGATAAAGAAGTGACCTACAAATTGTTACACTCGACGGACTTTCTATTGACTTTACATGTGCTAGTTACAGTAATCATGAGAGTGTAAGAACTATTTGTAATTACAACTAGTGCAGATCCAATAAACCGATTCACCAAGCCAAACTTGCGTCTTAGTCATTGAAACACGTGACGACGAATAGTCTGGAAAATATATAGCGACGTTTCGTAGGATCCTGCTATTTGCATCTATCCTGAAGATGAAAGTAACAGTTCCTTCATAAACTTTATTGCATGTCACCAGAATACACGGTGTTACATTCCAGAAGAACATAAGTTTAATTAGATATAAGATCTAATTTACATACCATTAAGTACATATGAATTCTCCGAAAATCCGGCAGGGTGCAGGACGGAGATTGCAAATGTTCCATTAGTGACTTGAAGTAACATGGGTCTGTAGTGGAGGAGGACGCGCTAAGTCGTGACGTCACTTCCTGAATATTAAGCAACAGTAGTTCTTTGTAGCTAAGAAAAGATGGCTGAAGTATTTTTTCCTGAAAAGAGCAAGAAGACACAATTAACTTGTGGCTGAAAACTGAAAATGAAAGTGTTTCCATGGTTAGAGAAAACGCGTTACAGTGTAAATTCTAACAGATTGGGGGAAGGGGGGGGTTTCAAGTAGACAAGGAAATATGTTTAGATGTTTCATTTTATTACACTAGTGTAAACATCTGCTGAAATTCAGCGAGGAATAATTTCTGTCGTACCTGCATTCCTCAGCTTCATCCAATCTTCCTTTTACTCCTATCACACGTTTAGCTCTATCTCTCCTTCCTCCCATATTCCTTTCCCTTCTCTTTATTTTTTAAGTCTTATTGTCTTTCCATTTCTGCTGTCCCTTCTTCCATTCCCTGCTTCCATTTTGTCTACACATTCCTCCGTTTCATCTTTTTCTACGGACAGAAATACGTATGACATCCGTTGTGTCAGACAGATCTGTACTGCAACTGGTTTCCATGGAAATGACGTGAAAACTGCATAAAGATAAACCGACAACAATGTCTTGCTAAGCCTAATTGTTCCGGGTCTTTAGAATAAACTCCTAGAAATAACATGAATACGTAAAGCGGCCTCCGTAGTCTAGAGGTAACGTTCCCACCTCATGACTCGTGGTACGCGGGTTCAAACCCGGCGGAGGTCGTCGAATTTTTAAGGGCGGAAAAATTCAGGGAACAAGTCCTCCGGGAGGGACTTTAAGCCGTTGGTCCCGTGTCGTAGCTTTACGGCACGTAAAAGAACCTCATATCTCCAAAGGAGGTCACTGAGCCAAATTCAAGGACGTATCCCGCCCAACAGTAGTCTCTAACGCCTCTGATAGATGGGGGAAGCATTATAGATACCGCCAAGCCAGTAGAGGCCGAACTCGCTGGCTCGGTCGGGACTGATGGTACGCACCAATATCGGTAGGGTATAGAGACTGGTAGAATATCATAGAGGGAAACACAATGGACCAATACTGGTCTCAGTGCATGGGGAAACCCACCCTCTCCAATAACTAACTAACATGAATACGTAACTAAATGTAATATTTCAAGAAAAATGAAAATCTTTTTCGATTATTTACTCGTATTTTCTTTCCACATTTAGAGGTTTGTCTTGTTACCTTGACAAGCAGGAGAAGCTCATGTGGTCGCGTTAAAGGGTAGAGTTTGGCCAGACTGTCTCCGTGCGCTTCCAGGATCCTCTTGCTGCAATTGTCCAGCACTTGTTCTAGCACCGTGCCGCTTAAATCACTTGTAATCAACTGCAACAACAGGATACGAGAAAGCTCATTAGGCCGGGTTTCTTATTTTATAAGAAAAGACTGAAAGATTTTAAGTTACAAATGTAGCTGGAAAAACAGACCTACATTTATTAGGGACCGTAGTGTCTCACCGTGAAGCCTTGGGTTCAATTCCGGATGACTTCATATGAGATTCATGTTTCACGAATTAGTACGTGGGTCTGAAGACTGCCAAAGTAGTCAGTGAGTGAAATGTGGTTATGAACCCTGTGGGACTCACTGTGCTGGCGAGGGTCAGCAACAATTGTCAGTCAGTCAGTCAGTGGTATTTGAGTAGGATTTCCTCCGAGTTCCTGCTAATCAGCTACACTTATTCACAGTCTTCAAATTTCGGACTTCCTCTGGGCTCCCTCACTTGCCTGGTCGCAGAGTAGGAAAGTTCTAGAAATCGTTTGGACGGAGTAGAGTAAGATTGCCTTCCATATGGGCATTCCATTACCGACTGAGGTGTCCATCGACACTTCAACGGAGACTCCGAAACTACCTTGGAATTCATATAACCGTATCTTAGGTCCCTAAATCTACGAATTTCATGGTCATGAAGTACTCTTATGGTTAAAGAGCATCTGTCTTTTGTTTCTCGTAACTTTTGAATAAATTAATAGAATTTCAGGGTGCTGAGGAGAATATTTGGACCGAAGAGAGATGAAGTGACAGGAGGTTGAAGAAAACTGCATAATGAGGAGCTTCATAACCTGCATTTTCTCCAAGTATGATTAGAATGATCAAGTCAAGGAGAATGAGATGCACAGGGAATGTAGCACGAATGAGGGGAAGATGAATGCGTATAGGATATTGGTGGAAAAGCCAGAGGGAAAGAGACCACTGGGAAGACCAAGACGTACGTTGGTGGATAATATTAAAATGGATCTTAGACGTATAGAATGGGATGGTATGGATTGGATTGATCTGACTCAAGATAGGGACCAATGGAGGGCTCTTGTGAACACGTTAATGAACCTTCAGGTTCCATAAAATGCTGGGAAGTCCTTGAGTAGCTGCACAATTGGCAACTTCTCAAGATGGGCTCAGCCCCAAAGAGTGATTACAGTTTCATGAAACTTAGCATGAACATCATGTCACCAATGACATCAGTTTAGTATTATCTAACGTACTTCAATGAATAATTCCAAGATGGCGCTCATGCGAACTTCTGAAGTGAGAGGAGTGCTGTTAGAGCCAGAGTGTACTTACCGGCATGTGCCACAGAGTGTGCACCGTCCTGTTGGTGGCCAGCAAGGATACAAGGCTCTCCAAGTGGCGCTTCACTCCTTCCATTGTGCCCTTCTGGTTAACCGTCAGGAGCCCCACTGGATGTGATGTCCTGTTGAAAGGTCAATTTCTACCTAAGTTTTGCTGTGGTGTTCTATCTGTATTGTATGCATTATGCGTCTCATCGCGTTGTTAAATCAATGAAGTAATATTAGTCTCAAGGGTTAAAACGTTAAACCATTGTTATTGAAATCTCTATCAAAACGTTAAAGTTAACTGTTAATTAAGTATTAATTGATCAAGTCAACAAGGATGAGGTGGGAAGGTCATGTAGCACGAATGGGGGAGAAGAGGAATGAATATAGGATAGTGGTGGGAAAGCCAGAAGGAAAGAGACCACTGGGAAGACCAAGGCGTAGGAGGGTGGCTAATTTTAAAATAGATCTTAGAGAGATAGGATGGAATAGTATGGATTGGATTGATCTGGTTCAGGATATGGACCAGTGGAGGGCTGTTGTGAACACGATAATGAACCTTCGGGTTCCATAAAATGCTGGGAAATTCTTGAGTGGCTGCAGAATTTGCTTCTTCTCAAGAAGGGCTCAGCTCCATAAGTAAGTAAGTAATCAAGCATGAATTGAATTACAATGGAATTACTTTTCAAGTATAACGAATGCCCGTGGTGATTTGTCGTAGTGTAGAGTGTAGTTGGATGTTTTGTATCTTGGAAGTCGGCGTTGTTTTTGGTCCGTTACATGTCCGAAAATCGGTTATTGCCCACCAATATAATCGGGTTGTGAGAGATGTGGTATGGTGTAGGTGATTACTTACGTGTTATGTGGGTGATTTCTCGAGTGAAAGTGACGCAACAGGTTGAATATATTCTCTATATATTTATTTTATTGCTAGTGGGGTGGGACTAAGTCCCTTGTAATGAGTTGTGAAGTGTGTAAATCAGCGATAGCGCTGTAATTACTTGTACTTACAAGTCGTGTGTATAAATGGTCAATAAATCCATTCGACAATTCAAATTCCGCCTAGAGTTACACTCTAGACGTGACCAAAGGTTTTCATATTGTTTTTTCTTAATTCAAATAGTTTTCTAGCTACAGAACCATCTTAGTGCCTCAACATCGCTGCAAACTCACAAATGTACACAGCAAGATTTTGTCCGTTATATATGAAATTAGTTATCCGGGTCCGTTATAACGAATATTGACTGTAAAGCAAAACTAGATGAAAGGATGCCAAAGCAGATTCTGTAGTAAGCCTATGTGAAAAGGACATTAAACCGAGGACGACCTATGAAGAGGTCGAACGGACACTGTGTTTGAAGTCGCAATGGGTTGGCTGCATTTGTCATGAAGTGAAGAAGAATAATAAGGAAAATAAGAAGAATATGGAGCAGAAGAAATTTGAGCACGCGATCTTAAAGAATTCGGCATCTCTGTCGTGCCGAGTATTGCGTTTATCGTGCCTGAATGCGAACATCAGCAAATGGCTTGGCTTGATGTCACTTATGGCTGACACCTCTGAATCACCTGTTGCAAGCGTACCTGAGTGTGGTGGGAACCAGAGTAACAAGTGTCTCGAATCCCTGAATCACCTCTGGGCAGCGGTCGAACAAGAGGGCTGGAGTGATGGACATGAAGCAACCGCAGTTGGCAGGTCTCTCGTGGAGAGCAGTGGGGCCCGGTGGCTCCGCAAACCTCTTCACCAGCTCCTCCATCGTGGGGAAAGCCAATGTAATGTGCTGCCTGCCATCTTGAATGGAGAAACTCTTGATAGCCTACGAAAGTACAGCCCGGCTGTATTTATGCTTAAGTATCACGTCATGAAAGGAATTATAATTATTTATCTGCAGCTTATTTATCGCTGCGGCACCCTCTATCCACTAAAGTTGGCACTAACTTCGCCGACAAGCGGCGGTCGCTCGGTCGGTATAGTTCGCTTGTGGACTACAGGCCAAGGAGTTTGTTATTGTCAATAAACCATGCTATACCATCGAATGGCTGCATAACAGTGAACATTGAATTGGAAGGAATGCTGATAGACGTGACAGTGGACTATTTCAAGTACTTTGATCCGGTATTTGTCTGAGAAGATTGACGGAAACCTCAGGATAATCAGTACCCAAGCCGAAATTCGAACTGGGTAATTTTCTGAGAGTTACGGTATTGAGCAATTTGGTTGGTCCGTGGCAGAAATAGGGGTGTGAAAATGGAGTTCCACGCAATTCGCAACCTTGCCTCGGCACCTAGTGAAGGTGATGGACCAGTTTGATGTTTCACTGAAGAAGGAAGCACTTCATACCCGTGCAGTATGAGGCTTAGTGGCTCCTAGGTCCGGTTTTAGCTGTGGAGAAAGCAATCCCTTCACCTGCCATGAGTTGAAATCAGTTCATATAACTTGAAGCTAATAACTTTAATGTCTCGATATATCAGCTCCTGTAAAGCAAATGTTATAAATTTCAACGGATTTAAAAGCTCAAATAAGAATTTAGTTAAGTAAATTGCAGAATTCGCCAGTCACGGTAGCCGAGCGGTCTAAGGCTTGCACTGTCTTCGCTCGCTCGGAAGTCGGGATCGTGGGTTCGAAACACGCTCAGGGCACGGACGTTTGGTGTTTGTGTGTGTATGTGCGTTTTTCTGTGTTTAGGTGGAGGCCTTGCGACCAGCTGATCACCCGAACTGGGGATCCTACCGAACGTCTAAGATCTAGTAACCTGAAGTTTAACGGAAAGTTTCGTGGAGGTAGGCCAAGGCTGTAGCGTGGGGAAAAAGAAATGGAAGAAATCAAACATTTTAAATTTAAAATGTGTTTGGTTTTCTACAACAACTTTTAGAATTACATGGCAGATGTGTTCCTGAAAGACACCATGTAAGTTACAATGCATCATTTAAAAGATACTGCTATTCTGTAAGAAACTGAGGAAAATTGGATGTTGTCTGATAAAGAGACCGGGGAGTGAAATAAACGAGTCAACTTCACCTATTTCCGAGGTTGAGAATGGTAAAGCTATACCTCCACTCCCCGTACGTCTTCATGGCGTGGTGTTAAATATTCAAGCACAGGGACAACTTTGTATTATGCGCTAGTAATTATGTTCATATTTCAGAATAAAATATTTTAATTCAAATTCGTACCAAACCATGGCAATAATAACTGTTTATGCTTTATCGCATTATAATAACATGTCTCGTCTCTGAGCGCGCGATTATGAATTGCAAGCGTTGCTGGGTAATCTGATAGCCCGCCGAACTGTCTATGCATCTAGTGCATTACGTCACTTCAACTGGTTCCATAAATCGCCACTCTATCTCGTGTCGCACTGTGCAGACGAGAGACTGGTACCCCTGGTACGTGAATGATTGTGGAGGTTCGTAGGGGTCGTAAGAAGGTCGCGAGGATATAGTGGGACCACGTGCCCTGTGTTTTGTTTTCGTACATATTAATTGTGATACACCAATCATCGGTGATTATTAGTAATTATAAACTTCATGATTCATTGTTATAATGGTACAAGACTTGAGTGTTCTCTTATAAAAACGGTTGAAGCAGAAAAATGTGTAAGTACAGAACCTTCTTTAGAGTGCATTTAGTTTACTTTTAAGTGCGAATTATACGTGACATTCAGAAGAATACTTTAGTTCAATCAAGACATGCAGTGATTTCGACTTAAAGTTAATCACAGGATATAGGCCGCGCCGTAGCTCAAGTGGTTAGTCGCTGGCTTCCCACCGCGGCGGCCCGGGTTCGATCCCAGGTCTGGTCAAGTGGGATCTGTGGTGGGTAAAGTGGCGCTGGGACAGGTTTTCTCCGAGTACTTCGGTTTCCCTTGCCAGTCTTCATTCCACCAATTGCTCCACAATCACCCTCACCTATCTGGAGCTGGTACAATAGGCCAGAAGTGGCCGCAGTACAAGGGAGTTAGTCCCTCCCCACTAGCAACAAAGAAAATAATCACAGGACAAGTTTTTTAGGTTAGATTAGTTTGTGTTAGCAACAGCAGTTGAAACTTGAATCAATGAGCGTTTAATTCAAACAGGGTGCATGATAAATGTTGTTAATGCGTTAAAATAGGTTTGAAATTGTAGTCGTGTGTTATAAGTTATTATGATTTCTTGGTACAAAGTGATTACATATAGTCCCACTTGAAGAGTACTGTAATGTGAAGCCATGTAGGCCGGTATATCCAGACTGATATTTAGTTCGGATATGATCCGTCCATCTTGAATCTCCTATTCTGAAAATGGAGGGAGGATGTTTACTTGACGAAGCTGCTACTATATGCTCGACTTATATAGTGCCGAGTTGCTGGACGAGCAGTGAATGGTGAATAAGGATGGAAGTGGAGCGAATCTCTCGAGGTCTAATTTGAGATATTATCCTGGCGCATGCCTGGATAGTTGAGAGAGACATCAGTCATTATAATCGGTATCTCGACCGAGATTAGAACTCGGGACCTCTAAAACTCAAGTCATAAGCGTTATTTTAAAACACTAGATCTGTAAGTAAGTTTTGAGGTATCCACGGCAATGATTATAAAGAATGCTGTCTTCTGGGATGTGGCGCCGTGTAGATATTGTGTGAACCGACGTTTCGGAGGAACGTAACGCCTCCATCTTCAGGGTGATCAGGCTACATCCCAGAAGACGGCATTCTTCAGTAGATTCGTAAATTTGAAATAAATGAATATGAACACAAAAACGCACTTGAAAAATGCGTGTACTCGGTTGGTGTACACATTTCTACTCCTTATACTGTATTTGACAGAAAGAGAAATATTCATTGAATCCATTAAAAACTGTTGCAATAAGAAAATAGAAAGTTCATTAATGTCGTTTATTTTTCTGTACACATTTGTGATAATGGTTAATTCTTTATACACGATTGCACCGGACACTGCTCATTGTCTCATATATATTAAGCGCAAGCTTACAAAAAAAGGTAAAGTTGTCCGTGTGCTTCACTAATTAAGCACTACGCCTTGAAGACGCTTGCCGAAGCGGATGCATAGATCCACGTATTCTTGACTTCGACACTAGTTGGAGGTGAGTGGACAGCTTCACGCCCCTGCCGCTTTTCCCTCGGTGAAAGAGCCCCCGGTACAAATTGGATAGGAGGTTAGGTGGGCCCCGGGACCGGTTTGGGCGGCGTGGAGGGGAGAAGATTCTTTCCCCTATCGGGATAAGAACTCCGACCCCTCGGCAGTCCAGCCTGTAGCCAGTCGCTATAGCGTCTGCCTTATCCCGGCTACTAGGCTTACGTATGATTTCATGTAATTATTTATCTTTGTGTATAGTATGAAAATGAAAGTTATAATGGCCCGGGGTTTGAAGGCGTGCTGTCTGGAAGATCCTTACCAACATCCGGAGGAAGGCGCTGCCTCCGTCTTTAGGGTAGAAGAATATTCTCATTTGGAAATTTCGCTCATTTGAACCTTCATAATGTAGCGCGTACCCTTGATTTAGTTTTTCTTTCGAAGTGCCTTCCGAACAAAAACGAATATGTGCGACCGAAAACGGAAACAAACGAATGCATCGTCGCACAGTCGGTTCGCCCTACCTTCTGCTATGGTGTGCACATCGTGTAAGATTTTGCTGTTTTATGTAACGTCTTTGTGGCTTGTCACCACCTAATCACAGCTGATAATTGGAAAGCTACAGTAATTAATGATGACCATACAAGATATTATCTAGGAAGCATATGACATTACAAATTTCTTGTGTTTTCTTAGGCCGTTCTGAAGCAGTATCCTCATTTATAACATTGCACCTACGGTAAATAATGATTCGCTTTTTGAAAATTCGTTTTATGAACTCTTCAAGAATGCAACTACTGCATTGTAAGAGCCGGGACTATTTGTGTAGGAAATGAAAAGCGGGTCCCACTCCTTAACGGAAAAAGAGGAACTAAGGAGAACAATAAAAAATCTAGGAAGTGAGTTAAATTGCTTCCATTTTCAAGGCAAACATAAAGCCAAGCTTGTACACATGGTACTAATAACCTTTACTGTGCTGTCCTTATTCCTAATGTTTTATTTTCTGAAATCCGGTCGTGGTACCCTTTCCATATGTTCGCAGTTTTCTTTCTATGGGCGGCTTACTCTTCTTCTCAGAATATGGAGACAGTGGGCTCCTCTGAAACCTTGGTAGTCTACCAGACTACACGCCGCAACATCCAGAAGACAGCATTCTTCCCGTATCCCTCTTTATGAATATAAAGGAAATGAATGTAACGTCCGCTCCACGCCCGTTGTAACTAGTTCGCGGGAACACCGATAGAGGCACCACTTGCCGGCTTGAACGTGAGGTACGAATGCTACAGCTGTAGGTCGACTGCCGATCAAATTTTGTTCACTGACCGTAGGCAGAATCATTTAGGTTGCAAAATTTCCGTGCGTAGCAAATGAAGAGACTTTCTGATGAATTTTAAACTGGCCTTTTCTGCTAGTATTATTTTATTCGGAATTAATTTTTGTTTTTCTGCAGCTGGCTATTCCCACACAGTATGTTAACTTCAATTTCCAAACAATATCCACTCTTGCAACAGTATACGTATTATGACGGGTCGATTATGGCATTTATGTAAAGCATCCCAGGCAAACAAAATTTAATTATCACATTCTGCGATTTTATATATCCTCAGGCAAGTGTCCCTATTAACAATGGATTGAGTGAGAAGTTTCATAGCCAGTGAAATCAAAATAAATTCCATTAAAATTTATGCAATATTATCTGTAGAATCTATTAAAAACATGAGCGTCGAGTCACGTCAACCCTTATAGGTATGAATACAAAGCGAATAATGTTAAAAATTAAGTTCTTACAGTACAGAAAATACACTGTGTTTCCATTACAAAGATAAGCTGTATAGTGCTATTTAGGTGTTTATCGTGAGAATCATACGAACACATAAGCACAGTGTAAGTTTTGAGGTTTTCACGGCGATGACTATGAAGAAAGTCGTCTTCTGGGATCTGGCGCCGTGTATTCTTCGTTTTAACCGACGTTTCGGAGGAACATATCGCCTCCGAAACGTCCGTTAAAACCAAGAATACACGGCGCCAGATCCCAGAAGACGACTTTCTACATAAGCACAGTGTTTGAAATTATTGCGGAGTTTTGTTTACAGCAACTCATGCTACTAGCTGGATACAAACCTCCACCCCACTATTTAAGTGATCAAGATCTCTTGCTTGGGGTGGATATTTACCCAGTTTATACACCAACATCAGTCGGAGAAGTCATGTCATATCTCAGGCGGGCAGTCACGTGCTTCCCACCGCTTAGGCCCTGTTTAGATCCTAGGTCAGGTCATGTGGGGTTTGTTGTTGACAAAAGTGGCACTGGGGCGGTATTTCTCTGAATACTTCCGTTTCCCCTGCCGAACCTCGTTCCACCAACTGTTCCGCATTCATTCCTTTTATCGGCAGTATGCATGTAGCACGAATGGGGGAGACGAATGCATATAGGATATTGATGGGAAAGCCAGAAGGAAGGAGACCACTGGGAAGACCAAGGCGTAGGTGGGTGGACAATATTAAAAATGGATCTTAGAGAGATAGGATGTGATGGTATGGATTGGATTGAGCTGGTTCAGGATAGGGACAAGTTGAGGGCTCTTGTGAACACTGTGATGAACCTTAGGGTTCTATAAAATGCTGGGGATCGTAGTTTCGGTACTAGCATCATCCTTAGATAACCTGCTTAAAAAGACCTGCCCATATTGTGATAAAATTTACATTAAGTGTAAGCAATAAAGTACATCAATGTAGGCATAGTGTTTAATTACTTAAGCTCAGGAACAACTCTATTAGAAGCAACTCTCATGGTATATTTTGTTGTACTTTCTTGCACTTCTAGGCTTCTTATATTTTAAAAAAGAATTGGCGTGTTACATCTTATGTTTGAAATAATGTAACAGCCCTCTACGCAGTTTTTCTTGTGGGAGTCTTTATAAACTTCAACCAAACAAGATGAACGCCTCTGGTTTGCGTCGCGATTCGGCTGGTGTTGATGGATTTACGCCGGTTTGCTGCTCAATGTTAGTGCAGTCGGTATAGTGCCTGGATAAGTGTTGATAGACGGATAACTGGCATAAGCAGAGGTGGGCGTTGTCCGTTTTAGCCTTCATTTGAATTCGTTCAGGAACCTGGATAGTGCAGTCGGTATAGCGGCTAGCTACGGGCTGAATCGTCGAGGGGTAGGACTTCGAGTCCCGGTAGAGTAAAGAATTTTTTCTTCTCCATTTCGTTCAGACCAGTTCTGGGGACCACCCAAGCTCAAATCCAATGTACACCCGGGGCTCTTTCCCTTGGGGTAAAGCGGTGGGGCGTGAAACCAACCACTCACCTCCAACTAGTGCCGAGGTGAAGAAAATATGGAACTATACATCCACTCCCCCATACATTTTCATGGCGTAATGTTTAATGAATTAAGCACAGGAACAACTTTAACTTTATTCTTCTTTTCTACTTATTTTATCAATTTCTTATGGGTTATTTAATGACGCTTTTGGGTGGTAGGATGACAGATGAACGACGAATTGTAAAGGATTTTGTACGAAGTGATCGTGGCTTACTATCCCTTCAGTTGCCTGGAGGGACTGTGGAAAACCACAAAATAAGTCAGTCGAGATAGTCCGTGTCCCGGCCGAGGTTTAAACCAATCGCCTCTCGAATAAAAATCTAGAACCTTATCTGTAGACCAACCAGTTCGGTTATTTTAATTCTGTTTGGTTTATATAACAACGTTGTCTGCTTCTGAGTCTCTGCAGCGACGAATATTAATAATAAAATGAAAGGATGTTGAAGGGAGGAGTCGTGGGCCGAACTGAGGAACTACCCGAAAATTCCGAGTCTCTGCTTGGCGAATACAAGTCAGAAGGGTTACCCCTTGAATCGTTATGTTCCTTGCATAATGCAACCATGGATAGTGTGTCAGTTCGTTGTTTTTAACGGTAAAGATGTCTGTGCTGCGTTTGGTCACCCCCGATCGAATCCGTGTGTGCAGGTGTTAAAGTTCCCAGGATCCGGCGCAAGGGGTTGGGTAGGGAGCAGTGGAGGGTAAACACGCCTCGAGCTCAGGGCGTCTTGCACAGGGCGCAGTTCGGACACGTTGATACCATCGCGGGCTTCCACATTTGGCGACATGAGCTACGCAGATTACACACATACTGATCCCCTACAATTAATTCAGTCGTCTTCATACGGATAGTTCTCCAAAATATGCAGCCTGTTTTTGAAAAAAGTGTAAAGATTTAGTTGTCCCTATGCTTAATAAATTAATTAAGCACCACGCCATGAAGACATGGGGAGGTGTAGGTATAACTCCAGCAATAACAGTGGCCGCGTGATCTAAGACATGAACTATTTTCGCCCTCTCGAACACTGGGATCGTGGGTTCGAATCCCACTCGAAGCATGGATGTCTGTGTTTATTCTCCTTGTGTTGTTCTGCGTGTAGGTAGCTGCCTTGCGATGGGCTGATCCCCCATCCAAAGAGTCCTACCAACTGTGTATAAGATTAAGAAACTAAAAAATCAGCCAAGGACAAAAGGGTTGTAATCCCCCCACACAGATACATATATATATATATACACACACACACACACACACACACACACACAGAGTGTTCATATTTTAATGTTACACTGAATGAAGGAATGCAGGCCTAGCAACTTTCTGTTTGTAGCACAGCACACAGTGCTGGATGTAGATGTTTGGAAGGACTGAGAAATCTCAGAGAAGGAAACCAGGAGGACAAGGGGCTCCACCATTAAGATAAACCAGCCGTGAGACCCCCATAGGGTGCAGAAAGATCTTACTGTTAACAAATTTCTTAAGAAATTTATTTTGTCCAGCACGGTTATCTTCAAATTAATCTGACCTTGGTACATTTTTACTAAGTCAAAGTAGAGTGCAGTGTTCTCTGCCTCTCATCAGAAGGCAGACAGCCCTATTATTCTTTCCTCTTCGCTTAAGCGTATGGCGGAGTGGATATATAGTTCCACATTTTCTAGTTGGGCCCTAGCTGATTTACCCCCTGGGAAAGAACCCCCGGTACCCATTTGATATAAAGCTGGGTGGGCCCCAGAGCCGATCTGGACGGCGTGAAGAAGAGAAAATCCTTTACCCTGCCGGTACTTGAACTCTGACCCTTCTGTCCTCCAGCCCTTAACCAATCGCTGTACTGACTACGCTACCCCGGTTCCTAGTTATTGTCGTATAAAAATATTTTCTCTCGTCAGTTTTCATCGTTTCTCTTTTAGGATTTCATATTGTCACATCTGTGATTGTGAAGAGTTTTATCTTCTGGGTTGTGACGCCGTTGAAAGTCAACTAACGCTTCGAAGTAACATGTCGATTCATTACAATAGGATAGTAAGCCAAGTAGGAAACCGACATGAATTAGTCAGGAAACAGCTCCTTTCTGCCTGCTTCATGATAGTTTCAAGCCTTGCTTATATTTCATTCCTGAAGATGGAGGTGACATGTTGCTCTGAAATCTCAGTTGAGGACTTACAGCAATATTCTCAGGAAGATAGGACCCATCTCTCTCTATCTCTCTCTTGTTTGGTTGTGCTCTTACAGTGGCGAGCTACGGCCTAGTAAAGAATTCAAATTAAATTACGTTCTCAGAAATAACCGTGTGTAACAGATATAAATACGAGGTGCATCAAGAGAACAGTAATTTAATAAACAGAGAACAGCAGAAGGATACGAGATATGAGGCGACAAACAAGGGCTGAACAAAATCGCATAGCTGTTAACGTTGTTGTTAACGATTTTGTGCACCAACAGAGAGGGAATTTGGGGGTGGGGTACTAAGCCGAGATCCTGGTGCGTTTCCTTTGAGCATGGAAGATACCAAGCATTTGAGCAGTGGTGTCTAGCTGGGTTGTTGATTTGTTGATTCACGCCGTATTTTTGTCAAACACTAGACAGGAGGCGTAGAATTTTTATTTTCTGTTTAACTTGGAGTTGCATAATTTGGAAAGATACTTTAGGGGCCTCCAGAGCAAGGGGGGGGGGGCGCATGGAAAGCATTCAGTGGCAAATTTGAACTTAGGGTGTATCGAAGTAATATTGTTGCGTATAGACCCGTTGCTAAGTGGTGACTCTGTTGCTCCGTAAACACGTTTCCGTTGCTAGGCAGTAGATTCTTAATGATACAGAATTTGGACGAAACAATATAAGAACAGCGTCTTTTATGCCAAGATGTTATAACCGTGAGGTTTGGAGCTTAGTGAGGATAGGCAGTTCTGTACGGGAGTTTGTGAAGAAAGGACATGAGCGCGTGAAGCTGAAGAATCTCCACTGTTAGCAGCCTTTGACAGGGAAGGGCTGGTGAAGACACAGCAGGCTAGAGGAAAGCTTAGCGGGTGCTAGGATGATTTGTGAATAGTGACGATTAGAGGTGGCGCTGTAGTTGCTTGTAGTTCGAGTCGAGTGTACAAGTGGTCAGTAAAGCAATTCACAAATCTAAACCCCGTCTATAGTCACACATACTACGTGACAGTATATACAAATTGTTTTCCTACGGCATAGAAAACACCTTGAGTTTCCATTACAGAGATCAGCCTATTAATGAGTAAAATTTTCGTTGTTTATTCTGAGATTCTGAATGTCATATCACGCGTTACGTATAGCTATCAGAATGTTTATTTCGGATTAAAAATGTCGCTATGTTAGTTGAGAAACGCTGTCTTATGTAGCTCAAGGAACTGAAGGTACCTGCTGGACGTTGTCTGGCAAGCAGCCTATGATCCCCATGGTTAACTGGCCTCCTGCTAACTCCCCAGCACTTCCTGTGGTATACATCGCCATGTCCTGCAACACAGAATTCACATTGGGTTGGTTTGTTATAGTGTTAAACAGAGCTGTGATAGGGGTGGCCATTTTTGGCACAAATCAATGTCCTTTAATTTTTATACACAGTTTTAAAATGAAATATATATTTAAGAATGTCTGATTTGCATTTTCACAGCCGTGGAAATAAAAGTTCTGTACTCCGTGTACTTCTCTGTCACAGGCCGCGGAGGCCCATAGGGTTGTGAGACGTCGAGGTTGCCACACCACTTAGTCTAGTAGTAGATATGGAGGCATAGGTTCGTCCGAATCCTCATGTCTCTAGGAGACCTCTGAGCAAAATTAGGCAAAAAGTTTCCTGCCCAAGTAGTTTCCAATGCCTCTGGTAGACGGGGGAAGTATTAGGTACCGAGGGCCGACCTCGTTGGCTGAACGGGGCTGATAGCACGCACAAGTACCGTAGGGTATGGCGACTGGTAGAATATCAGAGTGGGACGTAGAATTAGACTATTAGTCGCGGTGCATGGGGAAACCCACCCCCTCCAATAATAATAATAATAATAATAATAATAATAATAATAATAATAGGTTCGTCAGAACGTTGGTAACCATCTACGTATCCTTGAATTTCGTAGCTGAGAAAACCACAATATTCATGACTGAAGGCTTTTGAAGACAGGGAACAAAGGAGAGTATTTCGACCTCAGAGAAAGACGAAACGTCTGTTGACTTTCAGCGGAATATACGGCGCTATATCTACGTACTGCTTCCATCTCCACGGTCGAATAGTGAACCAAATAATAAACTAACAAGACACAGTATTTCTTTTATTGCTAGTGGGGTGGGACTAAGTCCCTTGTACTGCGGCCACTTCTGGCCTATTGTACCAGCCCCAAATGATAGGTGAGGGTGATTGTGGAGCAATTGGTGGAATGAAGATTGGCAGGGGAAACCGAAGTACTCGGAGAAAACCTGCCCCAGCGCCAATTTGTCCACCACAAATCCCACTTGACCAGACCCGGGATCGAGCTCGGGCCGACGCGGTGGGAAGCCAGCGACTAACCGCTATGGCGCGGCCAACAAGACACAGTAAGGCTGGCTGCTTGCTTCACAGTCCCCTCTGTGCAGTACCTGAAATTCAACATATATGGCATAAGGTTTGTCGTGACCCTGCATGGTTTACGTGGAAATTTTCATTATGCATAAAAATTGTTACAATCTGGCGCGCAGGTAAACAGGAGCTAGCGCCTCGAGGTCTGTTGTAGCTTCGGGCCGACTGTACGATGCGAATTATTGCAAAAGACTGAATCGTTTTGGTTACTAAAATTTTCATGACCAGCCGGCGAGGTTCCCACCGCTTCCAATACTTCGCACAACCCCCTTCATTTTTTATTCTCTCTCCTCTGTTCTTGGGTTCACCGCTCTGTTCCGTTGGACTGACAGCAGTCATTCTTATCGAATTACTCTCTACAGAGTCAGTCAATCAAATCAACTGGATCCTGAAACTGATACGATTAGATTTCAGGTTCAGGACTTACACTCATGGCAGATATTTGAACTGTTCCAAATTCGAATCAACTTCAACCGTCTCAGCGCAAATTCAAAGCTCCTGACACATAAATTGTGACTGCTTATTTCTGCGTAATAAGACCAAATTTACGTGTATATTGCTCTGAATTTTCTGTATCTGAAGCTTGAGGTTTTCATAGAGGTGAAAATTAATATAGCAGTCTAGCGGTCTCCGTAGTCTAGGTTTAACGTTCCCACCTCATGACTCAAGGTACGCGGGTTCAAACCCGGCGGAGGTCGTGGAATTTTTAAGGGCGGAAAAATTCAGGGAACAATCCTCCGGGAGGGACTTTAAGCCGTGGGTCCCGTGTCGTAGATTTACGGCACGTAAAAGATCCTCATGTCTCTAGGAGACCTCTGAGCAAAATTAGGCATCAAGTTTCCCGCCCAAGTAGTTTCCAATGCCTCTGGTAGATGGGGGAAGTATTAGGTACCGAGGGCCGACCTCGTTGGCTGAACGGGGCTATTAGCATGCACCAATACCGGTAGGGTATGGCGACTGGTAGAATATCAAAGGGAGACGTACAATAGATCAACAACTGGTCGCGGTGCATGGGGAAACCCACCCCCTCCAACAATAATAATAATAATAATAATAATAATAATAATAATATTGCGGTCTTCTGGGTTATAACACCACGTGTCTGATAGTTTTAGGCAAGTTCCAGCGTTTCAGAGTGTGACACAGTCCGAAGATTATGTTGTGATCTTCTGGTTTATGACATCGTGTTGTCTTATGAATAGATACCATAGGAATATACTGCCTCTATTTTCAGGGTGTGACGAAGATTCATGTAGCAGGCTTTAGTGAACTGTAAAGTGTGGAGATTGACGATGGCGCTGTAATTAAGTGCATTAACGAATTGTGTGGTAAAGTGGTCAATAAATCCAATATCCAGGCCAAACACGTACCTAAGAGGTTTGAGGTTTTCATAGCTTTGACTATGAAGAGTGGTCTTCTGGGAATGCGTACTTTCTCTCTCGCTGCTTACTCTTCTGGTCTGAAGATAGAGGCATTAGGTTCCCCCGAATTACACATCATCACATCCCAGAAGCCAGTAATATTCTGTATGAATTATTTGGTAGGAAATCTCTTAGAAGTTGGAAAATAGCGAAAGTTAAGTTCGGTTTTGTGAGACTGTGTTTCATAAATTTAATATTAAAAAAAAGGTAAAGGTAGTCCTGTAACAGACTGTGAAGACCCATGGGGTTGTGAGACGTTGAGGGTCCCACACTATCTAGACAATCGGCTCACACATGACGGTAAGGTTGTCAGCCTTACGCACCAGCCACGCTTTACTCCCCAGGAAAATTATTTATATAATTCATGGTACTCATTTCTGTTAGAGGCTGAGTGAACCCCAGGGCCATAGTGCGGCCAGAAAGATTAGGTCAATTGAAAAAATCCAATGACCTCATCGCGACTTGAACCCGCGACCTTCCGGCCTGTAGCATAGTGTCCCAACCAACTACGCTATCGCGTGCCCCAAAATTTAATGTTGCAATCGAAAAGAAAAATGCAAATTATATGTCGCACAGAAACTGATTACAATTTTTTATAACCCACGCCATCTGTGAGCCGATTGTCTAGAAAATGTGGGAACCTCAACATCCCACAATCCTGTGGGCCTCCACTGCCTGGTACAGGGATAGCTTTACCTTTACCTAGTGCCCACTTAAAAGTAAAGGAATTTTCTATTCGAATATCTGTGCTTCAAAAGAATTTATCTCCTCCCTGACTTCATTCTTTGCTATGTAATCCTAAATTAATGTGCTTATTTAATTCATTCCATACAGCAAACTCTCCATATGTCCGAAGTCTCAGGTAGCTACTGAAGTGTAGATATTCTGTGATTGCTGTAGATGATATGAATGAAAATTCTCGGTTGAAATGAAGGATGTTGTCTTGATTTACTTCGGGTTGCCTAGGAGACACACAAAAACTGTCAGGTTTCTGCGTGGGTGTCTGAATACTGCTTTTATCCATTGTGTTGTGCCTAGCAGGGATATGAATCCGCTATCCGTGGAGTATAACTTACACGCGGACTTTAAAAAAATCGATATGCACGTATGCATAAATGTTTAAAAAATTTAAATGAAATTGTTATAAATTCCGTGTCCATATATTTATTCTGCTGGAAGAAACAGAATTGTTTATAGCATGAGGTAAAAGCGGATATCGTAAATTCTAGACTAAACGTTATATGAGACATTAATTATAACGTTCATGCAAATGGTAACAAAAGAAGTAAAGGCACAACAAACATCCAGTCTCAGAAAATGAAATATTTAAAATCAGTCAGGAATAGATAAAGATAGAAATTATGAGATACTAAGAGAAGTAAGGAGAAAAAATCGAAATTTAGAATATCGTGGCATATAGACCCATTGCTAGGTAACGACCTCGAAACAAACGACATAACGAATTTTTCTAGGCAACAGCTTGATAAACACGCAACAGTAACGGAGCCGTTTCTATGCAGCGGCCTGTGCAAAACAATTGAAGTACTGTTGGAGGCGGTGTTTTCTATGTGGTCCACTCCGAGGCTATATCGCTCGACCGACAGAGTTCAATTCAGTTAATGCAGTGTATTGGAGTGAAACGAGTTGCTTGGTGAGTGAGTGAGTGAGTTAGTTAGTTACTTAGTTAGTCGCGGGTCTGTTCAAGTGCGATCTGTGGTGCACAAAGTGGCGCTGGGGCAGGTTTTCTCCGAGTACTTCGGTTTCCCCTGCCAATCTTCATTCCACCAATTGCACCACAATCACCCTCACCTATCATCTGTGGCTGGTGCTATAGGCCAGAAGTGGCCGCAGTACAAGGTACTTAGTCCCACCCGACTGGCAATAAAAAGAAAAACAGTTGAATTTACATATCACCACAAATGACTAGAAAAGTAACAATATTTGTGTAATGATTTCCATGGTCTGTAATACAGGTAAAAGTTAGTATAAACATGTAAACGAGGGGAGCCAACCAAAACATGTGATTGCGGATGCAGTGAACAACATTATTACACAAAACCCAAACAAAATAGAAAGTAACAGTCTCGTTGATAATTGCAGGCCGTGCTAGGCACACGGTGTAATGCGTGCTGCTGCTGCAAGGGGCAGTAATTGCATGTCATCTCTATCATTTAAGCTTCACGCCTCATTCCTGATTTTCATGTGACAGCTCTGATTGCCAGCGGTAATGAAAAGCATATATCATTAGACCGCGGTTAAATTCGGTGCCAGCCAGCTGAGGGCGTTATTACAGTGACCAGTCATACCAACAGCGGCTGATTTTCACTAGATATCTTCAGCTATGAGAGAACTGAGCACATTTCCTGCAATGTGTCTTAATTCTGTGAATAACTTCTTTTTTTCGTTTAGTTGGGGGTGGAGTCCAACTGGGTCCACTCGGTACGGCGGCCACTGATTGCCCTATTGTAGCCTGCCCCGGGTGATTATGATGCTGGAGAATTTGGTGGAATGAAGACTGGCAGGGGAAACCGAAGTACTCGGAGAAAACCCGCCCCAGCGCTACTTTGTCCACCACAAATTTCACTTGACCAGCCCCGGGTCGAACCCGAGCTGTCGCCATGGGAAGCCAACAACTAACCGCTTGAACTATGGCGCGGCCCTCCTAACTTCTTCTTAGTTGGTTCTGCGGTTTTGAATGCATCTCTATAGATATTTTGAATTCTACCCAATAGTTTGAAGAAATCTGTGTTCTGAAATATGACGAATTATAGTCCGATAAAAGTCAATCGCAAGTTGCTACCTGCTTCATTCCAGTTTCTTTCTTAGCTTGTTCTTAGATGCTGAAGATGGAGGCGACATGTTACTCCGAAACATTTGTAAAGATGTATCACACTACAAACAGTGGCATCACAGAAGACATTGATCTTCACAGCGATCGCCGACAGAACCTCAACTCTCGTAACAACTAATACAGATGTTCTGATGCTGAATTACGTGTGAATCAGTTTGGTAGTTTCTGGACTGAAACATGCTAATTGACTTGAATTTTCCTGCATGCATGCGTCCACTTTGCACAAACCTTTGGTGTTAAAAAAGTATACCGATCAAAGTGAATATATACTATCACGTGTCCAGGTGTCTAACAAGACAGGTTTTTGGATTTAATAATCGAATTTGTTGGACCTTTATACATCTGGTTACAACATATCACAAATCACTATCTGACACGCTGTCATCTTCTTAGAACTGGACACTACACTGGGACTATTCTGATTTCCAACTGAACTCCTCTACACTCCCTCAATTCTTATCTCCCACTCTATTCTGTACTACTTATATCTTCTCGGCAAGGACACCACAGAAAACACAGTCTTTATTGTCAAGAATGTGTGTTTATTGGCCTAATACCTAGCAATGGATGTCCTATTGTTGAGAGAGTGTGATCTGGGAATGTGTTTACCGAGCCGTTGCCTAAAAGTGGGCATATATTGTGACGTGCCGCCAGGAAGGCCGGACTATCAGACGTCAATCGCTGGTCAACGACTAGCAATCCCCAGGCAACGCAATATAAGCACCCCGTTGCCTAGGTTATCTCTTAACACGAAAGCCTAACGGTGGGGTTTCCGCCGATACAAAAAGGCTAGCAATGCCTAAGCAACGAATTGTTTGAGGCAGTTGCATTACAATAAAGACCACAAGTAAATCAGCGACCACTTAGTAGTATATAATGACATCCTATCACTAACGACCTCCACCCTCTTAACTGCTGATAAAATACTCTTACATACGAAAAAACCTGTACCCAAGAGTGAAGAAGATTGCATTCACAAACTCTTCATGCTAATGAACGTAAACAAGATATTAGTTTTGATTTCATATGTGTAAAAGTTTTATATATTAGATATTTTAAGGTAATTATAAGCCGGTCACGGTAGCCGAGCGGTCTAAGGCATGCACTGTCTTCGCTCGCTCGGAAGCCGGGATCGTGGGTTCGAATCCCACTCAGGGCATGGATGTTTGTGTGCGTTTTTCTGTGTTTGTCTACAGGTAGAGGCCTTGCGACGAGCTGATCACTCGCCCAAGGAGTCCTACCGTATGTGTAAGATCTAGAAAAACCGAAGTGAACGGAGTTCATGGAGGTAGGCCTAGGCCCACTGGGGCTGTAGTGCCAAGGAAAAAAAAAAAGGTAATTATAAAGCTGTCCGTTAAAAAGCGTTATTTAAGTACATGACTACAGGCGCCATCAACTTTAATTCCGTACCACACCAATAATAACAACCGTACATATTTTTCATACATCAATTGCTAATAGAGTAGAACCACGTAACAATGGAGGTTTCTTACCTATCCGCTGCTCACGTGGTGGTAGTGTTGTGGTAGTACATGCCTTCTCTATGCCTGTCACAGGGTAACTAGAACTCTGTCACGCCATCCCCAGATCCTCCTTCACACAACAAACATGCGCTCTCGCCACAGGAAACGCCCCCTTTGCACCCCTATCTAGGAAGGGGAAGCTGAACCCTACAGTGTGACAAGTGAAACATTTGTGACCAATTGTTAACGTGATTTATGTTCCACCTACGCAAGATTTCAAACCGTCACAGCGATGAGTATGATGTGTACTATCTTTTGGGATCTAATTCCATGTAGCCCGGTATAAGTCCACCGACGTTTCGGAAGAACATTCTATAATCATAATCGAAGAATGAACCAAGTAAGAAACCAGCAAGAAGCAGGCAGCAGAAGATGAAGTACGTTCATCCGAAACGTCGATGGACTTCTACCAGAGATATTAAGTCACAGAAGACAGTATTTTTTATATTCTACTTGGGTGAACTTCATGTCGAAAGAGAGTTGTTTGAGGAGAATTTAAGCTATGCCGGCGTGAAATTTTCTTGGAGACCACATTTTTTTCTAACGTTCTCTCTGACAATGTCATTCTAACATCGCTGTCAATAATATGGTATATGAATTACCTTCGTGTATTGAGTAGAGTTTTTAAGAAGCTGATAGTTGTTCAGCTGGTCAAGGAACTGCAATTTTATGGAACCTGAAAGCTCATCACTGTGTCACTAAGAGATCGTCATTGGACCTCCTACTGAGGAAGTTGAATCTAATCCACGCATGTCATTCACTTAACATGCGCTTTTGTATTGTGTTCCCACAAGTTTGGGTGCCTTGAGTGTTGTCTCTGACTTGCTAGACATGTAAATATTCGTTAATGACATTTTTGTTGTGTCTGTCGGTTCGCATTTTTCGCACATAAAAATGAGGAATTTATGCTCGTAGGATGTACAGAGAAACAGGTGTCTGGGGGATACAATATTGGTTAACAGATTTGACTATAATCTGTGCTATATACAAAGCTCAATCAATATTTGTTATTTTTCATGAGAACTCAGTGGCTTTAGTCAGCAAGCAAACTATACCGACCAAGCGACCGCCGCTTGTCGGCGAAGTTAGTGTCAACTATTGCGGATAGAGCGTGTCGCATGGTCAGCGCGACGGATCCCCACGGCCGTTAATTTCGGTTTTCTAGACTGGAGCCGATATTTCCTTGAAATAGCTCCTCAGTTATCCTCACGAGGCTGAGTGGATCTCGTTCCAGTCCCACTACTGCTTAGAAAAAACTGGTAGAGACGGGAATCGAACCCGGACCTCTGGATCTGTAGCCAGCAACTCTAAACAATAGACCACGGAGTTGGTCTTTTTCGTGAGAACTGTTCACCAAATACTATACATTTATGACTTAGGTATAGGTTTTGGATATGATTAAGAAATAAATTTTATTTGTGTAATTTTTAATATGGCGAATAAAGATCGGTAAAGGAATACAATTGCCGGTCACGGTAGCCGAGCGGTCTAAGGCATGTACTGTCTTCGCTCGCTTGGAAACCGGGATCGTGGGTTCATATCCCACTTAGGGCATGGATGTTTAGTTTGTGTGTGTGCGTTTTTCTGTGTTTGTGTATAGGTAGAGGCCTTGCCACGAGCTGATCACCCGCCCAAGGAGTCCTACCGAATGTGTAAGATCTAGAAAAACCGAAGTGAACGGAGAAGTTCATGGAGGCCCACTGGGGCTGTAGTGCCAAGGGGGGGGGGAAGGGAATACAATTAAAACAGTTTTTGGTTATGCACGGTAATTGGCATTATGACAATATAATTGTCATCATCAGCATCATCATCAGGTAGTCATGGAGTTGGGCCACATGTTGACCCTTTCCGGCCGCATTTGCCGACTAATCTTTCCAAGATCTCCGGTTGTTATGTAAATTTAAACAAATGAATTGAACGCTTCTTTGTATTCTGTCAACATGTTTAATCCAGTTGGTTTTACGTAGGATTTTAGGTTCTCAGAACAGTGGCTATGAAGAGTTTTATCTTCTGGACTTCAGCACCATGTAGTCTGTTGAAAGTCTGCCGACATTTCATTGCTACCTGGTTCACGCTGGTTTCTTGATTGTCGTATAGTTAGACACTGAAAGTGGAAGCGATATCTTACTCCGAAATGTCGGTTGATTTTCATTTAGTTGTATGTTTCGAAATTTGTTCTAATATGGTTTCTGTTATTGGCTATTTTCTAATACATCCATGGCCTTGAGCTTCATAACTTGTACTCTTCTCCAAGTATAATTAGAATGATCAAGTCAAGGAGGATGAGATGGGCAGGGCATATAGCACGAATGATGGGAAGAGGAATGCATATAGGATATTGGTGGGAAAGCCAGAAGGAAAGAGACCACTGGGAAGACCAATCCGTAGGTGGGAGGACAATATTAAAATGGGTCTTAAAGAGATAGGATGGGATGGTATGGACTGGATTGACTGGTTCAGGATAGGGACAAGTTGAGGGCTCTTATGAACACGATAATGAACCTTCGGGTTCCATAAAATGCTGGGAATTGAGTAGCTGCAGATTTGGCTTGTCCTCAAGAAAGGCTCAGCTCCATAAGTAAGTAATTTCCGTGGTCTATCGAAATTTATTGATGAATATTATGAATAAATTTTCGCCAATTTTAAATCTGAATAAAAACATACCTGCAGTTAATGAGTTTCAAGCATCATTAATCACAGTCATATTTATTTGTGTTTCATCATCATTATCATCAGTAATCTGTCAGACGACAGGTCCACAGTCTCTTCCAAAACAATTCCTCCACTTGATGCGATCTAGAGCTTTCTCCTTCAAATGACAGTATCCTCTTCTGTCCCCAGTGTCATCCAGCATTTGTGTTTATACACGATTAATTTACTGATGTAACTGATCATTAATTAAGTGTCGTAATGCGTCGGTTTAACTGGGTAAAGTGACTGAATGTGGACTGATTGGATTCAAGGCAGGGCAGAAGAATTTCTCCCTTCATCACTATTTGCAGAGAGGTTCTGGGCCCAGCCCGGCCTCCCGTATATTGGGTATTTCAGTTCAGTCTGTCTGGAGTCTGAGACAGACTATATCATGACCCTCTAAATTAATATGAGACTCCACGTGGTGCACGGTGACAGCAGAAAGCTGAAGAGCTTTACAGCCTCTCTACACCTACAGAATGCTGTAACAGTCATAACAATGTAGTTCTGCACATTGTTGCAGGATCCTACAAGAGACTGCTGGGCTGCCGCGTCATGTCAGTGCACCAATTGAAGCCATCTTCCCACATCCTACTGAATTCTGTGCACTTGAATAAGTTTCGTTAAATAAATTAAGAAGCAAATATTTAGGACTTCTGGATCATAACGCCGTATGGTCGGGTAGGTGGGCGTGTAACTGTTGAAGAGATTATATATGTCATAACCCAGGAGGAAATAAGTACGAATTTTCACTGCCCTAAAAACCTCAAAACTTGTAAGAATTTTGGAAAATATAAAGCTGTTCCTGTGCTTAATTAAGTATTACGTTCACGCGTTATCGTAGTTGGTTGAGCCACTATGCTGTAAGCCGGAAGGTCGCAGGTTTGATTCCCTATGAGTTCATTTGATTTCTTCAATTTACCTAATCCTTCCAGTAGCACTATAAACCTGGGGTCGACTGAGCCTTTAACAGAATGAGTACCAGGAATCTTCCTGGGGATAAAGGGCGGCCGGCCGGCGTGTAAGGCTGACAACCTCAACGCCATCTCTGAGCCCATTTTTATAAAATGTTGGAACCTCGACATTTCACAACCCTATGGAATTTCACGGCCTGTTGCAGGGATAGCTTTACCCTTTAGCTATGAAGGCAAATGGGGGAGTGGAGATGCAACTCCACGAATTCTCAACCTTGACTTTAGATGTATTGGAATGGTCAACTTCACACCCCAGACTTTCACGGAAGTAGTCCACCGGTACCCATGGAACAGGAGGCTGAAATGGCTTCAAAACTGGTTCGACGTTGTGAAGAAAAGATTCATATTTTGTGAGTAATAGATCCACGATTGCTTGGTCGTCCAGCCTGGCCACTATACCGGCTCGTATTCCCGGCTGCATATACGTGTATTTTCAGTCAATAGAGAGTTTATTCGTTCTACATATAATGTGTCATTAAAATACCGTTTAGAGGACAGGGTAACTTCCTTTTGTGTATATGTGTGATGACCTGGGAGGTGTGACGAATCCTTAAGGCAAAAAAGTTCAACCTTTGGCTTGTAGCATAGTGACTCAACGAACTACACCACTGCGTGTCCGACGAAGCCGTAAGAGTTAGCAAAATTTATTAAAATCCTTGCTTAAACAGGAATAGTATAACGATCATATAAACGAACATTGGTTAGCTACTGGCAACTCAAATACTTGCCTAACAGTTAAAATGTTTTAAAACAGATAATATTGCATGAGTACAGGCGCGCGGAGCCGTGTCAGATCGGGCTGTTCCCACGGTAGTGACGTCACATTGTCGATACCTGTTTCCTGTCCCTGCATCAAATGGTTGTAATGCTCAGGGCTGGCGCGCTGCTATTGAAATGAAAGCGGTCCGCGGGGGGTGGGGTGGGGGACAGCAGGGTATTTTGCTGGAAACGGGAAAGCGGGAGGAGCCGTGCATATTTTTGAATAGTTTACCGAATACGTGGCTCAAATACGAACGTGCTATGGTAAAGTGGAGGGTGCATAGAAGGGAAAGGGTGGGAAACAAAACTGCTGCTTATGAAAGGGTAGAATTAGGGTGGAGTTAGAATAACAGAAAGTATAGGCGGTGAAGGAATTATTGAGCAGAGATGATACATGTACCGCTTATATAACCTCCCAGTTACAGCGAGTTATTAAATTTTCAATGAAGTCCGTGAAATATTAGGCGGTTGAAATAGCAAAGAGAATCAATGAATTGTGTCTCAGAGAAGTTTTGGAAATTGTGAAGTTTGCGCTGAAATACCTGAGGAACAAAGTTGCGTTGACGTGAAAACACTGGACGTAACTCATGAATATTTAGTTAGAAAAGAACACCTA